CCCGCCACCTCGGCCCCGCCCCGCCTCACCCTGCCCCCTCGTGGCTAATACTCGGCAAATACCACACGGCCGGCAAGGACTGGAGGGCCCCCGTGGTGGAGACGAGCGAGTCCCCGCGTGCCTCGTAGTTCGCGCTTAAAGATCTTAGCTTCTGAGGGAGTCAACCACTCTACCTGAAGCGCCAGCCTTTTTCTCTCCTCTGGACCCTCGTGGAAATTCCACCCCATCCTTGAAGGCTCAGCTCAAAGGTCCCCTCCTACAGGAAGCCTTCAGTGATGGCCGCGATGGGACTGGGGCCTTCTCAGAGCACCCGCAGGCTCAGAGCTGCTTCGACCATGAACATTCAACAGATATTCATTGATGTCTACTGTGTACTCGGGCCCTCTGCTAAGTTGGCTTTGCGTGAGGTGTTCGTGCTCTTTCGCCTGGCCAGAAGCCCAGGTGGGCTGTCTGATGCAATTTGTTCCTCCAGCCCCAGGGCAGACCTGGAACCGAGTGGGCCCCAGGAAGAGTTCCTTGAAGCGGATTGCAACCGCAGCAGCGACCGATTTGCAGGGCTCTGGGCTGGGCCCACCAACAAAAGCTCCTGGACCTGGGCATGGCAGCGGGGGGCACTGAAGTACCCTGGGCAGCCGGGGCTCAGAGTCTCGGGACTGGCTCTCCTATCACTCAGGTATGTGTGACCTGGGCAAGTCACTTCTCCTGCCTGAAAGTCAGCCTCAAGAGTCTGTCTGCAGACTGGGGAAACAACCTGGTGTGCGAGGAGCTGAGAGCTTTCCATGAGAGGGGGTCCCTGTGCAGCCCCCTCCCATCCATTATTATATCTGGACTGAAAAGCTGCTTTGAAGAGATTCGGAGCGCCTAACAGGAAGGAAACCCACCACATGTTCCGAAGGGCTGCGGCGGCTGATAGGACCACGGGAGCTTCTCTTTCTCTATTTTCCTTTTCTGTAGACTGATGAGGTTATATTCCTTTTATGATGAAAACAATCCTTTTTCCCCCCCAATTGAAAATAGCATCATTGAGAGTATTCCTGTGTGTATAAAGATAAAACATACTCATATAGAAAATTTAAGCAGTAAAAGTAAAAATAGGACTGTATGAAACACCCCAAATTCCACCCCCCAAAGGCAAACAGGGTTAACATTTCAGTGGACACCGTTCCAGACGTCCGTCACTCCCTGCACACCGCCTCTGTGTCAGTCTTTGGCACACACATACACACAAATACACAATTTTATATAAACATTACACGTGCTGCTTTGTAATGTGTTTTTTTTCACTCGACAAGATGTCATGGAATTTTTTGCATGTCAATATACAGATAAAGATTTACATTTTAAGAGTGTTTTGAAAAAGACTGTCAGATTTTCATTGTCTTAAAGGTTATCCTCTCCTGCCCCCGCACCCAGCCCTCCTCAGTTCTCCCCTGGGGGCTGGCCCCATCTCCACATCTCTGTCCCAGCCCAACAGGGCTTCACCCTTAGGGGCCCATGGGGACCCTCTGCTCCCAACTAGAGCTGAACCGAGAGGCAGGCTGGCAGGTGAAGGCGAAGCTGGAGACCCCAGGAGGCGGGCATGACCCAAGGAGGGTGGGAGGAGAGAGAATCAACGCCTCCCCTGAGGATGGAGAACAGATCCACGACAGCCCCAGGAGCGGGACTGGCCTCCCCACCTCTTTACCCACCACCCCTCCCCCCCCACCTTAAGGAAGGGGAACTTTCTGCCTGTTGTTCCAAGCAGGGAGCATTGCTTGAAAGAGAGGATGACCTTGGAACTCTTAGCTACTTTTGGGGAAACATGAGTTATTTCATTAAGACTCCCCCTGAATGACTGATTTCCCCAGGAGACATGAGACTGTTGAATGCTGAAACCTCTTTGGGGGGACGTTTTTGCTAAGTGCTTGGCTGTAGAAGGCCAAATGGAGTCTTGTTCCTCCTTCTTTCTCCCCGTCCTCTTTTCCATGCTAACCCTCAGGTCAGGTGCTCCATCCCCCTGCCTCTGAACATGGTGACCTGAGCTCCCACCTAGCTTCCCGGGCCAGGAAGGGTTATGAATCTCAGAATCTGGTGGACCTGGAGCCATGTCGCTGGAGGAAGAGGGTGGCTGGGGGCAGTCTCTCTGTAACCTCATGGGCTCTCTTAGAGAGTCTTATAGCCTGGTTATCAACCCCAGACTCCTCACCCCCCTCCCTCCAATTTCCTCCATCCAAAAAAGAAAGTGCTTGTGAAAAGTGGGGGCTGAGTGGCCCTGCTGTCACCACTGCCAGTCCCGCCCCTCTGCCAGCTTGGGTGAGAAGAAGAACCCTGGCAGTGACACCTCCTCCTCCTGTTGCCGCCTCATCCTCTTCCCAGGCCCCAGGGATGGAGAGGTAGGAAAGGAGGAGCAGGAGAGGAGGCCCCCTGGGATCCCCTCACTTCCCTGTCACTGCCCCTCCCAGCCCCTCTCTCATCCCAGCAACCCACTGAGCATCCAGAAAGCTGGCCCTGGCGGGGCGGGAGCAAAGAGACCCGGGTGTGTGTCTAGGATGAGGGAGTCAGGGTCTTTACAACATCAGATGTTAGGAGACAGGCTGGGTGGGAAATGTGCGAATGAACAACTTACCAAGCTCATACACCCCATTCGTGGCAAAGCCAGGGCTGGAACCCCGTCTCTTGACTCCTGATGCAGTGCTCTTCCCACATTTTGAGGGAGAACAACAATAATAAATGAAAAGTCATATGATCACATCGGAAAAAGTTTGGAAAATGGAAAATAAAATTGCCCCTAAATCCTCAGCCTGGACTCTGGTTTTCTTTGCCTTCTGTGTGCATTCAAGGCTTCTTTTCAAGCTGTTTCCCATCAAGACTCAAAATGAGATTTGCTCCCTGATGTCGCGCAGCACCGGCCACACCTGTGGGTGGCAGACTGTGCTGGGAAGCTGCGACAATGTGGATTCCTGGGACCTGCCTCCAGAGACTCTGATTGCCAGGCCTGTGGTGGGTCCCCAGAGTCTGTGCATTTAAGAAGGACTCCAGGTGATGCTGGACCCCAGGGAGTCCATGCATCCCTCTCTCGGGCCCCCTCCCACTTTGCTCTTCTACCTCCAAGCCATGGCCCATCCTAAGAAAGTCCGTGTGCCCTGACCTTGCCCGCTGTGCTCTCCTCGGGGCAGGGAGGGAGGCTGACTGTCTGAGGATGGCTGCTATAGGCACTGAGATTTCTTATCGAAGCTCCAAGACCAGACAATTCTTCACCCCAAATCTAACAGCCACTTGGGTCCTCTCCTTCAAATGTGTGGAGTCCTGAGCTCCCCCAGGGACCTGGAAGGCTCCTGAATGAGCTCCTACTGCAGGTGCAGGAGGGCTGAGCAGCAAGGACGTGAGAGTGCTGGGGAGGGGCAGCTGCTGGTAGAGACCCGGAGCACAGGGGCACCAGCACCCTGGATTTCTGCCCTCCACCCTGCTGGGCACAGCCTGAGAGGCTGTAAGAGGGGAGATAAGCGACAGAGAGGTGGGCAGTGTGTTGGGGATGAGGCAGGAAAGGAAAGAGAGAGCACAATGAGAGGCCTTGGCTGCATTTCTGAGAGATCTAGAGATGGAGACGGGCAGGGACCACAAAGTGAGAAACCCGGAACGTGACTCAGTGAGAAAGTCTCAAGTCAGGCAAGACGGGGATGCAAGCAGAAGGGAGGAGATGGTCCAGTGAGAGGGAGGTCCACAGATGTCTCCACATCTGTACTGGAGGCTGGGGCACAAGGAAATGGGGTGGCTCCAACCATCACTAGCTGTGTGGCCCGTTCAAATATCTTAACCTCTCTGGTTTCCTTGTCAGTAAATGGAGTAATAGACCTTCTACCAGGACGAATTGGGTCTCAAGTGAGGGGTGAGGTAAGAGCCGAGGGGTTTTGCCCCCAGGCAGGAACAGGGCAGAGGCATGGGCTGCCTCTTCTTTCCCCTCCTCCAGCTGCCTACATCTTCCCTTCCCTCTCTCTGCCATCCATTGGTTGCCACAAAAGATCCTTCAAATCCAGCCTCCACCCTCCACTCAGGGCCTTGGGCCAAAAGAGAACTTCTCTGACTTCTCCGTTTGTAAGACCACATCTCAGAAAGGACAGGCTCCAACCCCCCACCCCCACCCAGACCCACACATATGGTTCACTGGAGACTCAAGTACTGAGGGCTGGGATGGGCCAGACCTTGGGGACTCTGGGCTCACAGAGATAAATTAGGCTCAGCCCCTGCCCAAAAAGAGCTCCTAGCAAGGTGACCCTGGGGCCAGAGTTCTCAAGCCCCACGGGGCCCCCTTGTCCCTAGGGTGTGGACCTGCAACAAACCAGCCTGTACACAGACATCACCCACGTGTGTGCACACTCACCACACACAGCGCCACATGAGACTGTGATCCCAGCCCGGCACCGCACCCCCTTCTCTTATCCCACCTTCAGCCTGCCTGTGCTCCTTGGGCATCTGCCTCTGCTCACCCCCACCTCCCTGAACCCCTCCCCCTCTGGGCCCAGACTTCCAGGCCTTCAGAGAGTGCGCCGGAACCATCAGATTAACAGCCAGGGAGGGCAGAAGGCGAGTGACAGGCACCTGTAGACCCCCTCCCCCATGACAGCTGCAGGAGTTCCGAGTGCCCAGCACCCAGCACCAGGTGGTCAGTGTGGGCTCAACCCAAGGTCAAGGGCTCCGGGTTCTCACCCCTAGGCTGGCTCACCCTTCCCTGCCCCACACTGCCCTCAAGGCTGGGCAGCCCTTACCCTTTGGCTCCAGGCATGCCTGGGTCCTCCTGCGTTCAGTCCTTCTCCCTCCATGGGCACCCTATCTCGGATCATCTCTCCTCTCTCAGGCTCTACTCGCTTTCAGCAGGCCCCAGCTCTTCACACAAGACCCACAGCCCCCTACACACCCACACCCACGCAGCACCCCACCCTCACCGTTCCCAGGCGAGGGCTCCTGCACCTTCCTGAAGGGACGTTAAGATATTGAGTACTTGGGCAACTCTGTAACCATGGGGGCATGCCAGTTTATCATGGGCAAGCCTGAACCTCAGCGAGGCCCAGGGGAGAGGCTGTATCCCCACCCCTTCCTGGGGAATCTCAGCAGACAGGCCCTTAATCTCAGGCAGGAAGCAGGGTCCAGTTACGTGGAGGGGGGGGGGAACACGGGGGGAATACCCAGGGTTTGGGTAAAGGGAGTTGGGGTGGGGGGAGGGGGGAGGGAAGGAAAAGAGCTGAGTGGGATACAGGCTGAGAGATTAACCCTTCACAGCCAGGCTCCTCTCTGCTCCCCATCCTGTGCTCTTGGAGACTCCATAATTCCCTGGCACAATAAGGCTTTGCCGGGACAGGCCTCCCATGTAAGGCACCCCCAAGGCCTCTGGCCACAGGACAGCAAAACAGCCTTGGCTAGGGCCCCACTCTCTCCAAGGTCCTCTTCTGGTTTCCTGTGAGCCACATGTATCTCTGTTTGCCCCATGACTCTATTAGTCTCTCGGGGTTTCTGAATCTCTGTGTTTCTCTGCTGTTTGTCTGATTCTGTGTCTCTCAGGGCCCCTGTATTTCTGCCTGCATCACGATGTGTCTTCTGTACATCCACCCCTCTCTCTGCGATCTGTAAAACCTCTGTGTGCTTGTCCGGAGTGGAGGGTCTGCACCTCCCTCTCTGTGTCTGTCTGCTGTCTCTGGGGCTCTGAGTCTGCTTAAGTCTCCGTATCTCCATGTCTCTCTCGCTCTGCGTCTTGAGCTATCTAGGTCTCAGTGTGCCTGCTGCATGTCTGTCTGTCTGTCTGGGACTGGGCCTCCATCTGTGAGTCTGCTCCAGGCCTGTCTGTCTCTGACCTGGGACCCTTTGGCTTGTCCATTCGGTTAACTTTGTGCGGTGGGGACGAGATGGGGCAGACTTATGGGCTGGACCAAGGATAGATGGATGAAGGGAGGAGGGAGAAAGGGGACACAGGCAGTAGTGGGGCAAAGAGATCTAGGGACAAACTCCCGTTCCTAAATGGTGCCTGAGGCCGGTGGACAGCCCTGGAAGACCAGGAGGCAGCACCGCCAAGCCAGTGGGTGAGGGAGGGAGTGACACGGCAGGCAACACGCCTGGTCAGTGGTGGGAGCAGAGTGGCACAGAAACTGAAACAGATGTCAAATGGGGAGGGCCCAGAAGCGAATGGAAAGACAGACGGGCAGCAGTGGGTTCTGATCCTGGCCCCACCACTAACCCCTGCGGACCTGGGGCTGGGTGCTTTCCGTCTCTGTGCCTCAGTCATCTGCTCTGTAAAATGGGACAGTCAGCAGAGAACATCCTCTAGAATTCTGTGAGAGAGCCAGGCGGGCAGAAGACCTCCCTAAACCCAGGGCAGGAGACTGGTGGCCCCTTTGTCCCTTGAGGGGGTATCCCAAAGTCCCTTCCCAGTACCAAGATCCTCTGTGTCAATGCAGCCAGGGTCAGAACAGAGGGAAGATGGAAGTTAGATAGCAGGAAGGACTTCCTGCCACACAGCAGGAGGGTGAAGAGGCCCCAGATTCTCCTCCCAGCGGTCCTCGAGGCCCCTCTCTTGGGGCTGGGGGTGGAGGGGCAGGGTGGGGGTGGGGGCTCAGCAGCTGGGTAATTAGCCATTGCTCTCAGGCCCTGGGGGAGGGGCCGGCTGGACTGAGAAACGAACGCAAAGTGACAGGGGCAGTTTTGACACGCGGTGGAGCTGACGGGCCCAGGGGGCCAGGGCTTTGGTTTGGGGGGGGGGGGTGAAAATCCCATCAGATGATTAAAAAATAGGTCAGAGGGAAGAAGCTGCAGCCGGCACTGGGTCCGTGGTGAGAACGCCATGAAGCTTCCCCAGGGCTTCGGGCCACAATGGGGTGGGGGAGCTGAGGAGGGTTTGCAGGGGGCGGGTGAGCTAGCAGTGGGGACAAGAAAGCTGTGGGCCCAGCAGCTGGCCCTCTGTCTCCCTCAGCCTGTCTCATGGGGACACTTTGGAATTCTACCTGCGGTCCACCTTCTGGCCTTCCTGTACCATCTTCCTCCTCAAAGGCAGGAAGATGCAGCTCGTCCTCTGCCCACCCCTACCCCACCCACAATATATACAGATTCTACCCCAGGAACACTGAGACTGTTGCCCCCACTGAAAACCCTTCTTACCTTCTAGCCTGAGGTCCTCCGGCTGCAAAGGCAGCTGGCTGACTTATTCTACATTTCTTGCCCATCTGAACAAATTCACCTACCACTGCACTGTCTTTGAAATCTTGCCAACTCTGCATCCTGCTTGGGGTCTGCCTTGGCCCTCCAGCTTGTTCTCAGAGATCCCTTTTCCCTCCTTCCCTCCTTTTCCTCCTTCTCAACTCCTGCCATGAAACATAATAGAGGCCTGGAAAAGGCAAAAGGCAGAGAACAAGGAGGTGTGAGGTAGGAGACCCAGGAGCCTGAGGCAGGTTGATGATCTCCAAGCACTTAGTAGATGGAGGCTAAGTGACTGTGTCTGGATTGTACAGAACCCTGAGACACCTGGTGGTATTCCCTTTATTTAAGCAGTTTAGAGCCACCTCCCACCTTACCTACGTAATGGTGGGAAGTCCTTTCAGTTGCCTTCCCACAGCCCCTCATACTGCAGCTTAATCCAATTTCCTTTTCTGAGATCCCTGAAACCCATGGAGAGATCAGCACCTACAGCTTGGAGTGGAAGAGAGGCCCGGGACCTACACGCCATGCTCCGTTCCTCTCAAACCCCAGGCACAGGCAGAAATCAGGCAGCCAACCAGCGGCCGGAGCAGAGGGACAGACCAGGCATTAGCAGTGTCATCTCCAGCTGAGTGGACACCTGGGTCTCAGCCACTGCGATGGAGGGCACCCAAGGCCATGTTGGCGCAGAAATGGATTGGCTAAATCTGACCTTGAGTTTAACCCCACTTACCACCCCAGACACAGATCCACTCTGACACACAAGTCTGAGATTTCCCCGGGAGCCTGTTGTCTGCTGCCCACCCCCCTCAGTTACCCAAGAAGTGTCACAAGGCGTCCTGCTAACCTCCTTCCACCAGGGCCATGGGCGGCTGGCACTCTGTGCAGGACCCTGAGACAGCCCCTGGACCTCTAGCCACAGGGGGCATGAAGCTGGTGTGCCGCCCATCTCTGCTCCCTCCCCATGCCTGCCTCCATTTCTTTCCAATCAGTGGCACCAGAACCTGACGTTTCTGTGGGTTGGGGAGGGCTGCTTTGGTCAGGTTAAGTCCTCAGCAACTGGACCAGCAACTGGGAATCAAGATACTGGGCCATGGCCTTTGCATTTCACACACACACACACACTGACCTGGGGTCACCACCCAAGGCTCAGGGCCCCAGGAATGGGCCGTGTACCAGGGTTCGCAGGCTCCCACTACCCTGGACATATTGCCAAGTCCAGCTTGTACTTGGTCTCATGCCTTGACTCCCAGTGAGTTTGGAAACTGGAAAAACCCGAGTTCTTCCTGATTCTCCCATTCGCCCTGCTGCTGCTGGGGGCACGGAGGAAGAGACCAGAGAACACCCCCAGGCAATTCACACCCTTGATTTCGTTAGACTGCACAATGCTGTGAGGTCACCTGGGCAGGGATCATGTTCCCCACTTTACAGACAAGGCAGAGAGAAGTTAAGTACCTTGTCAAGGTCACGCAGCTGATGCCCCAATGCTGGGCCCTTATGCTGGCACCATGCCTTCCCATGACCCCAAAGAGGATACTGTTGTTCTTCTCATTTTACAGATGAGCAAACTGATGCTCAGAGGGGTGACTCAGTTTCCCCAGGCTCTCAGTTATTTTTACCTGCTATCCCTCTCTCCTCATAAGGTGTCCCTCTCAACCCAATTCCACCTTAGAGTCCTTCCCCTTCCTCCAGAGAAAGGCAAGACCCTAATGCCTCCCCAGATCACCCAGTGAGCTTTCCCCTGTACTCTGGGAAGTCACTCCTGGTGTCCTGTTCTGCAAAATTAAACTCCATTACTCAGCAAATACCATCCCAACCTATGGGGCAGGAGGGGTGGGAAGCAGGACTGAGGAACTGAAATGGGAGGGACTGGCTCAGAGGCACAGACACGGCCGGCTGGGCCGGGCATGCTGGCAGTGGAGGAAACCGGGTCCAGACGGGAAGAGCCCGGGAGTCCCAGCTTCCAGGAGCAGGGGTAGGGGGTAGGGACATTCCTCAGTTCTCTGAACTCCCTGCCCCTGGCAACCAGGCCCACCGCCTCACATCCAAGCTGGTAGGTGTTTCCATGTGAGTGGGGAGGGGGCCTGGATAGCTCTTAGAAATGGGGGAGGGACGTCACTGGGCATGCTCCCTGCCAAGCAATGCTGCCTCCCTCTCCCTGCCCACTCGGAGGTTCATTACACCTTCAGCTCTGCCCTCGCCCGCCCTCTTGCTTCTCACCTTGGCACCTGTGAGCCAGTAGCCAAGTGAGGGGCAGCAGAGCCAGCTGGAGCTTCCAGCTTCTCCGCCCCTCTCCGTGCCAACCTGACTGCCTATGGTTCTGGGGACCCCTGTTTGCCCCGGCTGCGGCAATAGCTCTGGGGGTACCATGGGGGAGCTTAACAGTTCCCATTCTGTGCTGGGAGTGAGGAGGGGGGAAATAGAGCCATCCTCTGGCCCCATACTTGCCTCAAGATCTAAAGCCCCTGAACCTGCCATCTTTCTTTAAGGAACCCAGGAAGACTTCCAAAGAGATCATCTGAGGCAGAGTCCCTTCCTTGCTTGGGCTGTAATTTCTTCCTCGAGTCTAACCTTGATTCCTTGCAGAGGGGTGGAAGGGGGCAGAGATGAATCGCAGTTTCTTATAAACCTGGTGGCTTCTTGTTCCCCGATGACAATACAGCGGACGAGCTCTGTGGTTCTGGCTCTGAGTCAGGCCCCATCGCCCGGGCGTCCCCAGTGCCATCTCCCTCCGCCCCGCCCCAGACTGGAAAATGAGGCTCACGCTGCTGCCGGAGTCAGTGCTTCCCCTGCTTCCCCTCACGATCTCGCTTTCCCCTAAAGGGAGGTATTTCCTCGAAGCTGGGAAAAGTCAAGGGGGCAGAGACCTCACCAGCTACCGGGAGGGGAGGCGGAGGGTGGGCACCGGGCAGGGGGTGGGGGAGGGGCTACCCTGCCTTCCTGTCCCCCCTCCCCCCTTTCAGCCCAGCTCCCCAGTCCTGTTCTTCTAGTTCATCGGATGTGTGAGCGAGAGTGCGAGCGTGGTGTGTGCGTGTGTGTGCTTAACACATGTGTGTGATTGGTACTGGGGGTGAGTCCCCCTAGCCCCCAAAAGTGGAGGTGGGATGGAGGAGGCGAGGTGCTGTGCCTCTGGTGTGCTTATGAGTGACATGAATTTTTTTCCACACGTATGTTCTTCATATGTTCCTGTTCACATAAACTCTCCCTCCCTCCCAGAATCACGATTCTGGTCAGTACCCACCTCCCCACCTTGCAACCTGGGGCATGAAACAGATTCTTTCCCCTCCTTAAGTGAGAAGAAGCCCCCCCCCCCCCCAAAGATTGGGGAATTCAGGAATCAGTGAAGAGGTGGACACTTCCCATCTCAAAAAGCTGACTCGTCTTCTTCCCACCAGGGGACCCCCAGCCCTCAGCTGGTGGGGGCAGGTCACAGATAAGTCGTACAGACCCCCGACCTTCCTGCCTGCTCAAAGGCTCAGAGAGACATGAACCCCAGTCATCAGAACGCCACTCCCAGACCCTGGATGAGGACTAGCGAGTTTGGGGAGGGTCTTGCCCCTTGGGGAAATTGAATCTTGGGGAAGGGGTGGTTAGAAGGGCCTGAGTCAGCAATCTGAAAACCTCACGTGTGCCCACCCCAGCCTGGGGGCGGGCTGGGGAGAAGGAGGGAGCTGAAACAGAAAGAGAGATGGAGAGACGGAGAATGAAAGCAGGAGAGAGAGAAACTGAGACAATGGACAGTCAGAAAGAGAGCAGCGGGCAGAACCGGGGGCGGGGCAGGGCACGGGAAGCAGGGAGAACCGCGGTAATGGGGGTGCGGGCAGAAGGGGTCACAGGAATGGTCATCTTTTCCCTTTCATCACTAGCATCACAGATGCACAAAGGTCAGCGCTGAAATAATCCCACTCTCACAAAGGAGGCTTAGTGACAGTCACCAAAAGGGAAAACCAACCTAGGGTAGGACCCACCCTCCTGTCTCCCAGTCTGGGCTCATTTCCTAAGCCCCGAGGGAACGGGAGGACCAGGCTGCTGGGATGTTGAGGCACAGCGGGGCAGTCCCAGCATTCTCTGTGAGTGGGGTTGGGAGGTGACATGGGGGAAGGGGACGGGAGATTCGTCTTGATGTGTATTTGCATGGCAAGCGTACTTCTTCCTTTGAGATGTTACAGATCAATAAAAATAGCAAAACTTTCTAAAGGATGCTCTTACCCCACTTTACATAACATTGAGATGAGGGGATGGGACCTCCCCCCTTGGCGCTTGCTACCACTGATGCACAGGAAGGAGGAGGTAGGAAAAGGGGCCAAGAGTGTTTTAATATCCAGAAGGAAAGAAGAAAGCCTCTCTCTCACCTGCCCCACCTCCACCCCGAACTCAGGATCACCTGAGTTCTGTCTTCCTGACTCTGGGAAGGATGGAGAGGTAGGCCCTGTCAAACTCCAGAACTGTCAAACTCTAGATGTCATTTACCAGGGTCTGGGGCCTGAGCATCCATATTTACAGCCTGCCTTCTGCCATCTACACCACTCCTGCCTGAAGGACCACCAGTGGAACTTGGCCCCGAGAGGGGAGGGGACTCCAGGTCCGGAGAGGGGAGGGGACAGCCATCTGGGAGGGAGGTGGGGGAATTCCAACTAAGGACTCTGGTACGAGGCCCAAGCACCAGCTGGGCTGTCAGGCTGCTACCCAGGCCCTGCCCATGAGCCCACCCTCAGCAGCAGCTTGGCTCACTGGAGAAGTGGAGCTGGAAGAGGCAGATTGAAAGGAGACTCTTTGGGGGACCCAAGTGTCCTCAACCTCAGCTCCTCCCTACTTCAAGCTGGATGAGGCAACCTAGGAATAAGGTTACCCCCACCGGGGTGACCTCCCAGACCCCTGGGCTCACAGACATGTTAGAGTGCAGTGCCTGCAGTCCTGCCATCCAGAAACCCCCACCCCAGCAAAAGCCTCCAAAAGAAACCAGTTTCCGTCTGTGCCTCCGACTCCTGAAGATCTGGGGGTCTAATAGGAGGGGCTTCCAACCCCCTTAGTCATCCTAGGAAGCCAAGCTGAATAGCAGTGACTGATATTAACCCAACCACAAGCCAATTTTGTGGTTTCAGTTGTTTTCAGAAGGAGCAGTAAAGCAGCGGCAGGAGGCCGTGGGCAGAGGAGTGGGCTGCCTCCAGGACCCCAGCCCTGCGGGGCACCGACGGGGCAGTGTGGGGGCACTCACCTCTGCCCTGGCACCACTCAGCCCAAGCTCAGGAAGGTCTGGAACTGCCCCCACCTGGCCGATTCACGTGGCAGGGTTGTAACAACTAGGGGCACCTCTCCCCATCCCCTCCAGTCCCCCTGGCAAGTTCACTGGTTAGGCTGGCTGCTTCCTGGATCCAGGCTGAGCCCTTTCCTTTTCTTTTTTTCTGTTCATTTTCTTTCTGTCTTTCCTTTCCTTTTCCTTTCTTTCCCTCCCTCCTTCCTTCCTTCTTTCTTCCCTTCCTCCCTCTTCTCTGTCCCGCCCCGCCCCTTTTCCTCCTATATATGTATATGGCAGGAATAATTCAGGAGCCACAGCAAAGAGAACAGAGGCTGCTGGAAGGTTCTCCAAATGTACATGGGCTGCCGGGCTCCAAACCAAAAACCACAGGCACCCAGGCCCGGTCTCCAGCTCCTTTAGCTGTGGCACCTACTGGCCCCCAATCCCCAAACCACATCTGTTCACCCCTCTCATGAGCTGGGAAAAGATCAGCATTAGCAATAGGGGCTACTTCTCGCAGAGTAGATTTTGGAAGAATCTCAGAAATATAGAATGCCAAAATGTCAGAGCTGAGAAGGAAATTAAAACCACTAGGTCAGTCCCTTCATTTTTTTTTTCACACTGAGGAACAGAAGCTCTGAGAAGTGATGCCATGTTCCCAGAAGATGGTTAGGATGAGAGAGCCTCAGGCTCTAACCTTACCTCCCCTCACTGCCCCACCAGATGCAAATTCTCTCCTGTTCACACTTTCACTCCACCTCCTGACCAGACTCTGTCCTGATGACTAGGAGAAGAATAAGGTAACCAGGGACAGGCCAGGTGCAAGGAGGCAGGTACACAACATCAGCAGCCAGGCAGAGAGAGGGAACGTGGGCATCTCCTTGTCCTCTTCCTCCGGGGAAGCCTGCCTGAATTAGCTATGGGCCTGTCACTCCCCACACCCGGTGGCTGTGGCCATGGCAGGGAGAGAAAGGAGGGAGCAAGGGTGAGAAAGACATGAGTGAGTACCAGACATAGCTCGCAGCCCTGAGTGACAGGGAAGGAAGAGGAGAAGCGAGAAGGGCAGGAAGTGGGGTCTGGACAGGAGTAGGGGGTGAGAGAAGGTGGGGAAGGGGAGGCACCCCCATGGGGAAAGAAGCTGCCCTAATGAGTCACTGCTTCCCAGGTGCAGCCCTGCTAGGGGCTGCCCATTTGTGCTTAAGATTTGTCATGTGGGGGCCGGCCCCGTGGCCGAGTGGTTAAGTTTGTGCGCTCCACTTCAGCAGCCCAGGGTTTCGCTGGTTTGGATCCTGGGTGTGGACTTGGCACCGCTCATCAGACCATGCTGAGGCAGCGTCCCCCATAGCACAACCAGAGGCACTCACAACTAGAATATATAATTATGTGCTGGGGGGTTTTGGGGAGAAGAATAAGAAGAAAAAAAAAAAAGATTGGCCACAGTTGTTAGCTCAGGTGCCAATCTTTAAAAAAAAAAGATTCATCATGTGATTTCTACAAAGGACAATTGTGTGCATTGCCTCCCAATGTTCAGCGCTGTCAGAGTGGCAGCTCAAGTTGGAGAGCTGGTTGTTAAACATTTACCAGCACACCACTGGATAATGGGGTCAGCCTCAAAGCCAGGAGCATATGCCTGTGTGTGCATGTGGGACTTCACGCATGTGTCGGTGTGCACTATTCCTGGGGTCTGCATGGAGTCATGTGTGAATGCACAGCAGTCCTTGCCTATGACCCTGTGACACCTGGGACATACCCGTGTGGCACTGTATTCCTGGTTGTGTGAGACTGTGTGTGTGTATGCATTGCGTTTTGGGAGGAGTGTGTGTCTGCAGGTGGGTGTCAGTGGGAGTCTGGTAAGTGAGGAAGGGTGTGTGTGTGTGAGTCACTGGGACCATCTGTGTGCTTTACACATCTAAGTGTGGGGCTAAGTGTAACAGGGTGAGTCTGGAGGACAGTGAGGGGCAGACCCACATGTGCCCACTGTGGGGGACTAGGGCAGTGCCTGAGACTGGAGACACACAAATCTCTGAGCTCCGAGGACTCGGGGGGTGGGTGGCTAAGGGCTCCTGTGCCAAGTCCTGCTCAATCCCTCCTCTGTCCTCAGGCTTAACCACCTGCCAGTCTGGGAGGGAATAGGATGCCGAGGCAAGCAAGGGGCTCTCTGATCCCTCAGGTAAGTTCGCTGTGTGTGCTGGGCACTCCAGAAAGGCCAGCACCAGGGGGCACTGTCCTCTGGCCTGCCCCTCACCATGCTTCGGGGTGAACTATCTCCTCGACACCATCGCCTGATCCTCCCCTCACCTCTCATCCACAGTTCGCTGTTACCGTCTGGGGGGGCGGGAGAGTTTAGCTCCTGCAGCACCCACAAGACCAAGAGCCCTAGGAAGGGGGAGGGACACGATTGTTCAATCAGCCTCATCCACCTACTCACCTGTGGGCCGAAAGCCTGGGCTGGGCATCCCTCTGGAGCAGGGGGCTCTGGCAGGAATGACACGGGCTCCCTGTAGACCCCTGGCCCTCTGCTGACCCCCTCTAGCTCCTCCACCCTATGGAATTTGGCTCCACTATCCCCATTTCCCCCTGCAGGCCTCTCTCTCTCCAGGCACAGGGGAAAGGAGCCAGTCTCCCCTTGACCATAGCTGTTTCCTCTCCTCTCATCCCCTCCCTGGTCTGTGAGACCAGAAGAAGATAAGCATGAAGATAGGACGGTGAGGGAGAGGGACCTGACGAGAGACAGGCTTTCTCACCAGGGGTCTTCTAACTCTAATCCCTGACCCACGGTCTGGCTTGGGGACATATGCCTTCTGATACTGAACCCACCCTCATCCCTCCTCCCTGGAGACTTCAGGCCCCTGTCACCTGCAGTGGGTCGCAGTGCTCATCTCTCTACCTCTGGCCTGCACTGCCCCATGCCAGCCCGAACTCCGCAGCCTTAGAGGGAGGGATCTACTGTGGAAAACGGATGCCTCGGTTCATCTCACAAATGCGCCCCAGTGTCTTCACTGGAAGTTCTTCCTAAAGTCTAACCTAATGTTGCTTCTACTGTGGCCCTGCCCAGCACCTCACTGGCTAGAAGCCTGGCCTTCTTTCCATCTCAGTCAACCTTGCTCCTTCAGGTGAAGCTGGACCCTCAGGCAGAAAGAGAGCCAAGCTCCAAAAGCGAAAACAAAAGTCTTCGCTCATCCCCAGTGCTCGATCTACACGCCTCGTCAGCCGCTGCCCCCAGCCACCACAGAAACCCACAGGGCATTGGAGCTTTCATCCCAAAATGAGTCAGGGCCCCCCAGAGGGGTTGAGCTGGGGCACAGGAATTTCCCTTCATGCCAAGCAGGGGCTGTACTTGACATCGACCTCTGTCCAGCCTCCTTGACCCAAAGAGGCAAGATTGGCTCTCCCACCAGGAGAGGTCGGATTTCTTGTGGGCAAACCCAGCTGGCCCTGGAAGCACCTTCTGCCTGGCCTCTTTTAACACCAAATTTTCTCTTTTAATACCAAATTTTCTCCCTAAGTTTGATGCTAAAGGGGGATGCATGGAGAGTGCCTAAGTATGGAGTTGGGGACAAGAAGTGCTGGAGCCTGCTGAGTTGTACTCTATGCCTGCTGCACCTCATGCCCCACAGTAGCCCCCACATCTTCATTCCAAGGAAGTAATGGAAATAGAAGTGTCTCCCTAGGACTGTGGCCCCAGGGGACTCTCAAGCAGGTGCCAAGAGGCCACCTGCAAATCTCCTAGCTCCTTCTTTCTCCTCTTGCGCTCAAGAGAGCAGGAAGATTTTCCCAATGGGGAGAGAAGTGCTGGGAGTGGGCCCAGGGCCAGTGAGATGGCTGGCCAGGAGAGTGAAGGCAGCAGGTGGTCCAGCTGACCCCTGTGGAAGGTGGCATACTCCCCCGACCCTGCGCCCTGCACCGCATATATTCTCTCCCTCCAAAATAGCATCTCTGGAGGGGGAGAACTCAGCTCATCGTTCACTCCTTCCCACAGTGTGTTCACAGCTCTCTCACTGTCTCTCGCGACCTGGTTTCCCTGCCAGGCCCTTCTGCTCTGCCTTCACCCTCTCCACCTCACTCTTCCAGGTCCCAGGACACCTCTGGCAGAGAGGAAGCCTCCCTCTCCTCGGCCCATCACGTTCGCCATCTCCCACCTCCAAGCTGGGGCTGCCGCATCATTCCTTACCTTCTTTGGGACAGAAGTAAATTCAATGCACAAAGATCAAGCACCAAAAGTGTTTGTGGGGGTCTGCGTGGTAGACACTGGGACAGGGGAGAAATATGTCAAATAGCACATATTTCTTTCTCCGAGGATCTCACAAGGGATTGGTCTGACCCTCGGGAACAACCTGCAGGTAAAGGTGGAGCGGAGACCTCTAACAGAGCTGGGAGTCCCCTCTCCATCCCACCCCATGGGCCTAGGGCCAGGGTTTCACACTAGACCCTGATCCTCTTCATGCCACTTCTGGAATCTACTCAGAAGCTCCCTTGCTATTGTTTGGACTATTCCTCATGCAGAATGTTCCTGTGAGTGGCTCCCAGGCTGGCAGGGGAAGTTTGGGCCATGTCCTGGGAAATGCCCAATCTGATGGGGTAGCAGGACACAGACTGAAGAAAACAACTCCCTAGTTGGGCAAAGCTGGGGTCACCACAGCTGGGAGGGGCCCCGGGGAGAAGGCTCCCAGAGGAGGGAAGGGTGGGTGAAGTAGGCCCCAAAGAAGGACAGGGGCAGGGCTGGGTGTTGGGGCCGAGAGAAGTGCGAGGCTGGGATGGGGAATCTGCCCAGTTGGAAGACGGAGGAGCACCAGTGGGTGAATTTCCCGCCCCACCCCGCCCAGGGGCCAGCTGTTGGACTGGAAAGGCCTGACCTCCCGCCCCCAGCTGCAGGAGTGCTGGAGGCAAGGAAAGAGCCTAAAAGGCCCCCCCAGGGAACCACCTCTCCCCCTTGTTATTTCTGGCTCCATTTTTTGGTCAAGAAGGGTGTCAGTGGTAATGCAAATTAGGAGGTGTTGGAGGTGCTGGCCGACACCCATCCTGTCCCCCTCCCAGCCCTCCCCTCCCTCCCCCATGCCCACACTCACACAGCCGACTGGAACATCTGCGAGGTGCGCAGGGTGCTCTGGCCCTGGGCTGAGTTGGCATGGAGGGTGGGTGAAGCTGCTGGTTCTCGGGGGCTTCTCCCTCTGCCACAAGGACAGGGGACTCACTGAGAGGGCTCCAGCTGAGGCCCAGGTCCTCCCCGACCCCAGCCCCCTCCTGCCCTCGTCCTGTCAGGCCTCCCTGGGTCATTAACATCTGCACAGTCAATGCCCCAAACCAGAGCCTTCTCTTGCAGGCTGCCCATGGGAGGCAGCGCAGACTGGAGCCATCTCAACAGTACCCTCACGGCCTCTGCAGACGGCGTTAGCTCTCAAAAGGCACTTGGGCAGCCTGGGGCACAGACATCAGTGCCAAGAATTTCTCTGGAGTCAACATAGAGAAATTAGGGGAGGGGCAAGGATGGCACAGGGTGCAAGAGAATCACACACGTTTTCCCCACACTGTCTGGCCTCTGCCCCTGGACACCTGGTCCCACCCCTTCCCAGTTAGGACCCCCTTGCCCTTGATGTTTCATCCTTGCATCTGACCTCAATTCTTCCTGTGGTAGCCAAAGTTGTTCTGCTCTTGTCCTTGCTGAGGGAGGAATGGGACTGGGGGAGCTGTTCTGCTTCCCCCTACCCTATAAAGATGTGACTGAGTGAACCCCCACCCGCTCTGTTCTTCTTCATTAGTCCTAATCAGCGGGGTGAGGTGTTTCTCATTAACACGGCTGACTCACCAACACATCCCTCCTTTTTGTTAGCGATCAGCTTCTCCCCGACACACACACACACACACACACGCACACACACACGCACACACACTCCAGCAGCTTCTGAAAGGAGCTGTTGCTCTCCTTAGCTGATAGCCTGACACAGCCTGCACCGGGACCCAGGAGATGGGCAGGGGTCTCCAAGGCCTGGTAGCTCTGGCTGAGGAAATCCTGGCTGGGAGAGGGCAGGGCTGCAGGGTCCCCAGAGATGAAGCTGGGAGGCCCGAGGGGCGGCTGGTGGCTGGAGAGACTGAGAGCCGAAGAGCCGAAGCTGGAGAGATTGCTGGGTGTTGGCCTTTCATTGGGTACTTGGAGATGAAGCCATGGACGACTTGGTCTCGTCCATGAAGTGCCCCCATCCCCTGCCACATCTGGCTCTGGGTCTGCAGTGATAAAAGTGTTTTCTCCAGCCTCAGTGGGGGTCTTCCCTCCACTTGGCTCCTGTGAGAGTCGTCTCACCCTCCTCACTTTCCCAGGAGCCTAGAGATCAAGACCCCTCTGACCCTACACTCTCTTGGCCCCTAGTGCCCCCGACAGGACTCCTACAGAGTAGTGAGCAGGCAGGGTCCTTATATCTGATCCCAGTGCTGCTTAGGAGGGGAACGACAAGTGTTGACAAGGCTCGCCAGCCCCTCCCCAGCCCCCTCACTCCTCATGTCCTCTCCTTTGGGGGAGGCATTACATGAAAGGCTGTGGCTCTGGGGGACCTAGGCTGGAGGCACTCTAGTTTTTTCTCCCTTCCCTGCCTTTCCTCTCAGCCCCCAGCAACTTTCCACTCTGCACCTGAGCCCTTTCCCAGGTCCCCAGAAGTCAAGGAGACAAACTGCCAGACTCGCCTCCCTATGTCCCCAGTTTCCCCTCACCCCAGCGATAGGGGAAGGCCCAGGCTGTGGGATACTGGGGTTCCCTCCCACTTTCAGACAGGCCCAAGGACCAGAAGTGGTTACCTGGGTCATGCCCCTGCCTCTAGCTCACTCCCAGTTCATCCTTTGCCTTTTTACTCCATGGCTAGGATTCTTCTCTGCCTGTGTCCCTGTTCCACCCCTAATTCACTTAAGCCCTTCCAGCAAATGCTATCAGAGATCCAAACAGGACCCCGACCAAGAAATTTGGGTGCTGCCTTCCTCCATGGGAGTTGACTGAGGTGAGAGAGCACCAGGGGGCCCTGAACATCCATGTGCCAGAGGTTCCAGAACCTTCTTTCCCATGACTTGTGAAGTCATGTCCCACAGGAATGGCTCTCTCATCTTTCTTGGCACTCAGGATATGGCTGCAGATGGAATCAAGGTTGGATGAACTTTTAGAGGCCAGCTGTAGTTGTTAGCTCCAACAGAGGAGCAGAGGAGGCTGGGAAGTCTCTCTCCGGGGGGCTGGACCTTGGCACTAAATGCGGAAGGGTGTTTGCCTTGGGTCTGGAGCTGAACCCCAGGCCTTCAATGAGCAATTGCCCTCGCCTTTTGTTTCTAAGTGAACCCTTGACCTGAGAGGGTCACACGGGAATGAAAGGCACCCAGAGTTGACGAATAAGTAGCTCAGCCCCTTTCTGCAGACAGGAGGGCACATCCCTGGCTGGGGCAGAAGTCATGGGTTCATGACCTGGCTCTGACCTCTCAGGATATGGGACTTAGAGGCAGCCGTTGTGCCTGGAGCCCAGCTCCTCCCCTGCTCTCAGACCCATGAGGACATGGACCATGGATGTTCTTCCTCTGTGACACCCAGCCCAATTCCTGGTATGCAGAACTCATTTGATGAAGAAATAGCTGCTACTGATAAAGGAACCCCCAGGGCAACAGAACCTCTACCTGCCAGACCTGCTGGGAGAGAGAATGCAAGAAACCTTGACACCTGGTCAGGGCTGGGGTGGCTGCTTTGTCCTGAAGACACCCTCTACTGCTCCATATCTGTTCTAAATAAACTCCATGTCACAAGTCATCTGTGGTCACTTGCACATCCGAGTCTCCAGAACCTCCTTGGAAGGTGGGCGCCCCATGTATCTCCTATGTGTCCAGTTCCCACCCTCCCATAGTTGTGGTTCCTGGAGTTTCCAAGACTCCCCCGCTACCAAAGGTTCTCTCCCCACCCAGGCACAGAGGACAGAGACAGAACACATATGGAACAGGTAAGTTTTATTTGGACTTTCAACTTTTTCAGAGAGCTCAGGGGCCCTCACCTCCCCTCTCCAGTCCCCCTTCCCCATTTCCCCTCCCAGGGGGAACACACAAGGTACAATGCCATGTGTCTCTGGAGTCCTTGGCCCCTTCCCCGCCTGACACACCCCTTCACTCCCCTGCGTAGAGGAGGAGGGGAGAGGTGTGAGGAGGTGCGGGGCCTGGAAGAGTTGGATCAGAATGGTACATGCACTGACAATAGCGTCCACTGCCACCCACCCAGGACTGAGACCCAGGAGAAGCTCACAGTGGAGGGGGTTGGAGTCATCGTGGGGTGCAGGCTCTTGCCGTAGGAAGCTCCCCAACTCAGCCCTGGGGACCCCCTGGCCTCCTGCTTACCCGTCCTTCTGAGGGAACGACTCTGAGGTAGATTGCACAGAGGGAATGTGGGTCGCGGGGGCGTGGGAAGGGGGTTAGCTCTTTTGAAGTTGATCTCCACAGCACCCTGGGCCCATCCTCAGGTTCTGGCCTAGGAGGCAGGGCTGATGACACCCACCCAGCTAACAGAGGCTGAGTCACACCCAGGCTCCAGGGCCCCTGCAGTGTCAGGGACCCAAGGGGAGTAAGGGTGGAGGGGAGCATCTGCCTTAACAATGTGTGCCTCGGTACCGAGGCTCCAGGGGGAGGGCATGGGCCTGGGAGGCTGGCACAGACAGTCCCCTGGCCTGAGGGTCATGGTGCAGGCCCCCCCGGCCCTCAGGGCAGCCTCATTAGGCTGGATCTTCCCAGTCCTCCAGGATCCTCCTCTCCTCTCCCACCCTCCCTACTCCCTAGGGTGGGCAGAAGGGGAGAACAGGGCTGGCCTGCAGGGAATGGCAAGAAACAAGACGCCTCCTTCCCCAGTGGAAGCCCACACCACAAGCCACGAGCTGGCCACAGGACAGAGGAACCGGCATCAGTGTGCAGGGCAGGCCCTGGGACCCCACAGGGAAGTGTTCTCCAGACAGAGCACAGCTTGAATAAGACGGACATCGGGGGCGGGGCTGGGGCAGCTCCTGGAGTCCTCTGATACCCTCCCCCTCCCCCAGGCCCAATCACTACACACTTTCTTGGATCCAACCCTGTCTGAGAACCAAAAGGCAGAGGAAGAGGCTGGGGTGGGGTATGCCCCTCCCCATCCCAGCCCAGATCCCCACCTCCCAGCAGAACTCAGGGAGCTGGGGAGCCGCCTTGGCTGACCTCCTGGGAAGAGCCAGGGCTGAGTGGTGCCTGGACCAGGGAAGACGGCACGCACATTGACTCAGTAGCTAGTGGAGGTATCTGGGGGTCGTAAGGAGCTGGGGCCCCCCACGAGATTCATGCAGCATTCAAAGTGAGTGAGTGAGTGGGGATGATGGGAGAGGGCAGAGAAACAGCCAGTGGGTGGGGGAGGCACCCTAGATCTTGCTGTTCTCCAGGTGGGAGTCAATGTGTTTGATGAGGGCATCATCTGGGTACCCGACAGGGAAACCCAGCTGGCAGAGGGGGCAGCTGCGGATGTCAGAGCCCACTGTCTCCATCAGAAGCTGTGGAGAGAGGGGGAAGTCACTTTTGGTCCCCAATCCCACCCACGGTCCCCACATCCCAGCCTGTCCTATCCTGGGACCCAGGGCAGGAAGGGCTGCAGCATGCAGGAGTCTGGGCACCCTTTCTCCAGCACTACCCACTTCCTCCCCCCTCCCGGCCCACCTTCCACCAGCTCAGCGTCCACTCCCCCAACCCAGGGCATAAGGTCCCCAAGAGGTGTGTATGAGGAGGTGTGTATGCTCAGCCTGCCTGGGCATCTGCAGTAACGAGCCAAGACCCAGACATGTCCCAACAGTGACTAAGACACGGCTCCCAGATAACTCAAAGCAATGGATAGCCTCAAACAATGTACATCCCCGAAATACTTTTCTGTCTGGTTTGAGTATATTTTGGTCCTTCTAGGTGGCAAGGGTTGGCTCTGACATTCAGGAAACTCATTATTTCAGTGAAATGATAGAGCCTTGAGATAAGGTGTCTTCTGGGAAGGACAGAAAAGAGTAGGGGCTGTGAGACCTGAGGGCAGGAACTACATGAACCGGCCTATCCCTGTGCTGAGGAGACCGCGGGCAGCATGGCCTGCATCACCAGTACAGCAGATGCTCACTACCAAGCCAGGCGCCATGCAGGGCTTTGGGCTCACTGCCTCCCTGGTAAGAGCCTTCTAACGAAAATAAATCCAATCATGGTCCTCATTTTGCAGATGAAAAAACTGAGGATCAGAGAAGATAAGTAACTTGCTCGAGGTCCCATAGCTACTAAGCGGTGGAGTCCGGAATCAAAGCCAGGACTCCCTCTGAAGACCACGCCCCTAAAGACGACACTAAACAAGGTTCAATGGTGCAGGCCCCAGGTCACGCCAAAAGGCCTCGGGAGAGCGGGGAGAAGGCCCAACGCCCGCCCCAGGGAGGCAGGGCTGGCCACAGGACCGGAGCCCCGGGGCCGGGTGTGGAGCGGGGCGGGGCGCCACTCACGTTGATGGACGGCCAGGACTGCGCGTGCTCGGCGTGGGCGTAGGCGGCGGGCGACTCCGGGACCGGGAAGCCCGCGCAGAAGGAGGCGCAGCGGATGGTGCCCGCCTCGGGGCTGGGCGGGCTGGCGGGCACGGCCCACTCCTCCTCCTCCGACGGCTGCTTCTCGAAGCGCAGCCGGATGCCCTCGAAGGCGCGCCGCGGGCTGAGGGGCCTGCCCGGGCCGTAGAGCTCGCCGCCGTAGGCCCGCGGCTTGGGCAGCGTGGCGGCCTCGGCCTGCAGCCAGGGCGGGGAGGCGCCCGCGTAGCCCGCGCCCTCGGCCATCTCGGAGTAGCTGCGCCGGCCCTGGAAACCGGCCTTCACGTGGTGGCTGGGCGGCTTGGCGTAGGCGCGCTCGGCCAGCGTCCTCTCGCCCGGCGGCGGGGGCGGCGGCGGCCGGGGCTGCGGGGCCGGGCAGGCGGGGGCCCTGGGGAGCGGCGCTGCGGGCTGGGGGTCTGGCACGGCGGCGGCACCGGCGAGCGGCGCTGCGGGACGGGCGACGGGCAGGAGGGCGAGGCCGGCGAGCGGCGCTGCTGGGGCGAGGGGCACGGGGGCCCGGGGGAGCGGCGCTGGGGGCGGGGGACTGGCACGGAGGGCACGGGGGCGCCGCTCGGGCAGGCGGCGATGGTGAGGGGCACTGGGGGGCCGGGGAATGGCGCTGCGACAGCGGCGAGTGCCTCTGGCCTGGAGGAGAAGCAGGACGGGGTGGGGAGGAGACAAGACGTCAGAACTGGGGAGCCAGGGGCTTGCCGGGGACCCGTGCCCCCCCACCCCCACCCCCACCCCCGCTCTACTCCCAACGCGAGTTAAAAGGGACCAGGCACCAGGAAGGGAAGTGGAGGGTGGCCCAGGACGCAGGATGGTGGCCATAGCTGCCCCTCCCTCCGATCCGCTCGGGCCTCCCCTGACCCGGCTCACCGCCGCTCCGGGCCTGCTCCTGCAGCAGTGTCCTCAGGATCCTCCCCTGCAGCGAACTCAACTCCCGAAGCCGGCCCAGCTCCTCTGTCAGCTCTGTGTAAGCCAGCGCCAAATTCACCCTGAAGGACATCCCAGCCCCCGGGTCAAGGCTTGACCCCAGCCTGCCCTGACCCTGAGGTCAGAGGGCAAGGAGTGGGGAAGAGGAGGGAAGTGGGTTTACTGCCACAGCTGTGGAGGAAGAACCCAGCATCTGGCCCTCCCTTCCCTCCAGGGCCCTCCTACCCCAACTGGAGAAATTCTTTTGGGCTTTAAGGTCCACATCAAAGACCACCTCTTCCAGGGAGCCTCCCTCTCCTCCCAGTGAACCTTACCTGGGGCTAGGGCAGCGGGATAGGCTATGGGCTGGGGATAGGGAGCTCAGTGAGTCCAAGGGGTCCCTGAATGCATGTGTTCGCCGAGCCGTGTCTGTGGCCTGAACACATCGCATACGTATGTGTGTTTTTCTAATCTGTGCACAAGCTGTGGTGGGCAAACACGGATTCATCAAACAGCTGCACTGAATTTCTGGTAGCTTTTGTCACTGTGAGTTCTCTCAAAGAACTTGTACTAAAAGTGTAAGCGCAATCCGTGTGTTGGGAGCAGGGGTCCAGAAAAGTCCTCACCTCTGAAAGACTAGGGACCACCGTCGCACAGTCTATGAAGAGCCCCATTCACTAAGTGGAGACATGGCTTCCTGAGGTGCCAGCTGGTAAAACCCGAACACAAGTCCACCCAGCTCTGGGGCCGCTGCTCTCGCTTCCGGCTCAAAGCTGCTTCTGAGCTCCTTTCAGCCTTGCACCTCCCAGGATCTCCAGGGAGCCCTCAACAGTGAGATCTCTGTGCACCACCCACCTCCGACGGGCACCCCTCGCAGTAAGCACGTATCAAAGGTTGCCTTGTTCTGGAACTTCACTAGGAGTTCCCTGAAGTTGGGGATTATATCATTGTATCATTTTCCCAGCACCTTGTCCAGGGCCTGGTACCCAGTAGATGTTCGGCAAGTGAATAATGAATTGCGCCTCTCCATCCATTTTTCTTTCTTCTTCCCTTTCTTCCTCCCACTTCCTGCTCAGGCCTCCTGGGTACCCACCCTCACGAAGCTGGAACAGACTCAGCTTAGCAAAGATTTCACCCACTTCCTTTCTCTTTGGGTCACTTTAACCCAGAACCACCAAAGGTTATCACTCAGCATTGCCTCTCCCCTCTCTTCCATCCTGGCCTGCACACCTCCAGGAGCCCTGCCTACCTTCACGTGAGGCTCTGCTGTGGCCTTAGGTCACTGTCTTCATCCCTGCTCTGGGCTTGGACAGAGCCTGAGAGGCAGGGGTTTTGGTTTCCTCGGGTCCCCCCACCCCCGCCCCCCATCAGCAAGTCCAGAAGGGACTCTGGAAGTTTGGGGAAGTTGGAGCTGGAGAGAAGTGGAAGGCAGAGGCTCAGCCACTCCAGATGGAGCTCCTCACAGGGGAAGCCCTCTTGCCCCAGCAGCTGTAGGGCCCTGGGCAAGAGTGAGAGGTGGGTGGGGGGTAGTTCTCCAGACCCTGAGGGCCTGTCCCCATCCCATGGTAATGGACATGTGAGATGGGATGTATGTGGATGGGAGGGAGTTAAGGGAGGTCAGTATGATGAGTGTGAAGAACCGGTGTGAGAGTGAGCGTGTGTATGTGTGTGTGTGTGTGACCCCGGAGGAGAGGAGGGGAAGTCGTGAGGTTAGGGCTTCAGAGGGCAGGAAAAGCCGAGGTGCAGAGGCTAGATGATGACTGAGCTCCCTCGCTCTCCGCTCACTGGCTGCCTCTTACTACTCCTGGGGCAGAGCTGGGCGTGGGGGAGACAGTGGACCCTCCTATAACAAAACTATTTTTAACCCATTTGGGCCAAAGCCAAATTATGGCAACAGGCTGAGATTCTAGGGGACGAGCCCTCTTCTTAGGAAGGGAGAGTGCTCACTCCCCATCTGAGGGTGGAGAGGGACGGCCCAAGCAGAGAGGAAGGAGTTCTTTTGGGAACCCCTGCTGAGGCCCTTGGCCCTCGATCCCCTCATATCTCAGCCCTTATGTTTGCTAAGTGTCCTGTGTTCCCCCACCTCATCTCATGGATCTGTGGGAAGAAATGGCATCTCCCCACTCAGACTGAGAGGTCCAGTCTGTGTGCCCACATTAAATTGAGGACTCCTCAGTGGAAAGCTCCCCTCTTCAGAATGAGGGCAATCTGAGGGCAGGAGCTGTGGCTCCCCCATCAGACTGGGAGCTTCCAGAGGATCATGCTAACCCCTCAGTGGTGGGGGCAGGAGGGGGCTCTGGGCAGGGCATTGTGTCCCCCTCTGACCAAGCAGCCACAGTTTCTCTCCCCATCTGCCTTCACTGCTGTATCTCAGGTGACAGATACAGGTCGTCGCTTTCACACGCCGCCTTGGAGATCTCACCTGCCACACTCAGTTCCCAGGCCCCTATCTCTCCCTTGCTTGCCTTCCTCTCCTTGTCAGGAGCTACCCCAGTTTCCACTGCCCAGCTCCTAGCACCCTCTTCACAGCAAAACAGACAAGGCAGCAGACAATGAAAAGAAGCAGCGCCATAGCCCAGACCGCCCAGCCCGTCTCCCAGCTCTGGCTGGGAGCGGGCGCCAGGTGGGCACTGGCCTCCTGGAGCTCCAGGCAGCTGTTACAAAGACCTCTAAGCCCCAAGCAAGTGATGGGACCTGACCTCCTGATGTCCCAAGGCCCTCTGGGACCTCCCCCTTCATCGGGTGTCTCTTCCCACCTCTAGATGCACAGGGCTGGGCTGCTAACTACACTAAGGACCTGAATGACTCACGTTAGAAAACAATGCCAATTCAGTGGAAAAAATCTCAACTTCACAACACAACCAAGAGTCGCACACGTGCACCTGAATACACATTCCATTTCCTGGCCCTCTGGCCCACACCTGAGTGCTATTTTCCACCATCGCGACTGTTTGGGAAGGATAGGTCAGGGGCACAGCAGCAGGTGGCTGCCTTTGAGGGCTTATTTATTGCTTAAGTTATTGGGGAGAGTTTTGTCTGAGTCTCTCCAAACCTGGGAGGGACCCAGGGACAAAAGAATCACAGATAAGCTGTCTGAGCCCTTATCACAGCCCACTGATTGTGCTAAGAACTTTACTTAATCTTCACAACAACCCTTCAGTGTTGCCACTGTAATTATCTCCATGTCACAGATGAGAAAACTGAGGCTTAGAGAGGTTAAGTCACTGGATCAAAGTCATAAAGGCTAGGGGTAGTGGAGTTGCTGGAATGGGAGCTCTGGCCTCCTGGCTCCAAAGTCCAGGCTACTGACCACTCAGCTATATACTGCGTCCCAAAAGGATCAGGAAAGGGGGCAAAGGAGAGATGGAAGGCAGCAGAAGGGAAAGACGGTGAGAAGGAAGAGGCTGGGGACCTCGGAAGTGGCCTGGGAGCCCTGAGCGTCACCATCTCTGCCCTGGGAGGGGAGAAGAAGGTGCTAGACACATGTAGAACTTGAAGATCAGAGCTATTGAGAGGCTGGCTCAAGGTCACAGAGCAGTGGTGGCACGGTGTGGGGATTCAAACATGCTCTTGGCACCTCAGCCTGCTGAGTGCAATGGCAGAGCTGGCAGGAAGGAGGGCTCCCTCTGCTGCAAATCTTTCCACCCTTCACTGACTTATTCTTTCATTCATTCTTTCCACCGGTAATTCAGGGATCTCGGAAATGCATCTGGAAACAATAATTTTCACTGTTATTGATAGAGCAACCGAGATGACAAAGGTTAGAGACATAAGCATCCTCCTGTGTAAAAGGCCTCTTTCTGTTCCAAACCAGCTGGGAGACACATGGGCTTCCCAGGTCAGTGCCTTCGCCAGGGAAGTGCACTGGGTGCCCCGTGCTGCACTGGAGCCCCAGTGAGGATGCAGCCGGGTGGGAATTCAGGCCAGTGTTGGGTCATGGGATTAGAACTAGGGATGGGCTTGAGGTCAGGATTAAGGCTGGGTCAGGGTCAGATCAGGGCTGGGGTTGATAGCTCATTTCCTATCAGGATTGTGGGCAGAGGTAGGGTCAGGATGAGGGATAGGGTTAGAGTCAGGGATGGGATCAGTATTAGAGTTAGGACTGGCATCAGGATCAGAGCTGGTCCCGTGGTCAGAATCAGGCTAGACTGAGAATCAGGAGGCAAACAGACATCCAGCATTCCCAGCCCTTCCATCCTTGCCCATCACTGCCCCCAGCTGCCCCCAGCCACCTCACCCCTGTGGGGGAATTTAGGGACCAAACTTTCCACCACCCACAGGCACACCCAGCATCAGTCTTCCCACCCGACCCGCCCGACCCTCTGGGAGGGGACCTCAGGCACCGGGCCGTGGAGCGGACTTGAGGTTGCGGGCCGGGGAGAGGAGGAAGTCGCTTTGCAACAACCCAGTGCTCCACCACTTCCTTTCAGGCGCCTTGAGCCCCTTCACTCTCCTCGACCAGCTATGACTTGCGGTCCACAGAGCCCGGCTCTTCATGGCAGCCCCTGCCATGCTTCCAGCACAGCCAGATGTTCACTGTGTCTAGGCGGCTCCCCAGCTGCAGCCGAACTGAGCAGCTCCCAGTGGGGCTGGGAACCAGAGTCCCCGTTTAGGAGGAGGCCACACATCCCAAGCTGCCCAGGACTGTCCCCGTTCACGCTAGTTGCCCCAGCATAAGTATTAATAGTGCCCCCTTTCACTTTCAAAAGGGATCAGGTTTGATCAGCAAATCATCTGGCGGCCCCTCATATAAGGGCCTCCTACGTGAAGAAGGACCTGCCCCAGAGAAATCCCACAGAGGCGCTTGCTGGGGACCTGCTTGGTATCTGCACTGAACTTCTCTGATTACTTAAGTTCTTCGTACCTCAGTTTGCTCAGCTGTAAAAGGGGACAGTACCTTCACCAGGGTTTTTTGTGAGAAATGAGATTTTGGAGGTAAATCGCCTCGCGTAGTGTCTGGATGAGGAAATAGGGGAGTCCCTAGGAGACAGGTGGAGAAAGGGGGAAACCAGCCTGGATCCCTTTTTGGAGACACAGCTCGATGACTCTGGTTTAAGAACGAGGGGAGGATGTGGAGTTTCCCATCTAGGGAGAGGACGCGGTGCGAGCTGCTCTCTGCCTTCCTGGCAGGGAGAGGGTCACAGCCGGTTCAAAGCCCCCTGGTCCCTCAAACCACAATCAGGGGGGAGTGGTGGGCCCCAACTTTAGGGCCGCTCCCCACCCTCAGGGAGCCCCCAGGCTGCAAGTGCTGAGGGGTTAATTCCTGTGAGCTGGTGCCCGGGCTGAAGGAGATTTGAAAGAAAGGAAGTAGGGAGGGTGAGAAGCGTGAAGGGGGAGGCCCTGGGCCCGCTGGTTCTGGGGCAGGAGGCTAAGCTCAGGGTACATGGGGGTCTCCGACTTCCGTCCTGACCCACCCCACACTGCCCTTGACCTCTGTGCAGAGTTTCCATCCTCTCTCTCAAGTTCACACTTCTCCCCCACCACTAACCGCAGCCCACGCAGAGGCTTGTGGGCGGAGAGAGGGGGTTGGGGGTGGGCGGAAAAGGGCCCAAGCTGCAACACTGAGCCCCCCACGTTGGGGAAAAAGAAAGGCCTATAGTCTTCCCCCTCATCACTCGCACTGAGCCCCCATCATCTTACAGGGGGCTCACATCATGGATGGGCCCCCTCCCCTCTGAGCCTTCATTCCTCTTACTGAGCCCCCACCCACTCAGAGCCCTCAGCCCCCTCAGGGAGGCCCCCTCCACAATTTCCCCTCCACCCTCAGCACTGGCCACACCCTTAGAAGGGCCACACTCAAGAGCTGTGACTCTGGGCTGGGCCCAGAGGGGAGGGGGCTGGGGGTTCTGCACCTCTCACCTTGGCCGGGACCCTCCTGGGGTCCTTACCTCCCTGTGCACCCTCAGGAGCAGGGTGGTCTCCACTGCCACCTCATCCCTCATCATTGCCTTTGGCCCCTGAGTGACCCCAGTGGCTCTTCCTCTGGGGCAGTTTGTCCCCCTGGGCACCGGCCACCAGGTTCTGGTCTGACCAAACAGCAGGGAAATCTTGCCCAGAGGTCAGACCTGGAGGGGGCAGTCTGGTCTAGTCCGGGCACCCATTTTCAGAGGAATATTGATAACCAGAGTTTATGGGCCAGGGGCTTGGATGGGAGGGTCTGGGGTTGCCCCCTCAGCACGGTAGCACCCCTGGAGGGGAATTAACAGAGAGAGGCAGGAGCAGTCTAAGGGAGGGGTTTTTTGTTTTTGTTTTTTTTGAGGAAGATTAGCCTTGAGCTAACATCTGCCGCCAATCCTCCTCTTTTTGCTGAGGAAGGCTGGCCCTGAGCTAACATCCGTGCCCATCTTCCTCCACTTTATATGTGGGACGCCTACCACAGCATGGCTTGCCAAGCAGTGCCATGTCCACACTCGGGATCCAAACTGGCAAACCCCAGGCCGCCAAACCAGAACGTGCACACTTAACCTCTGTGCCACCGGGCCAGCCCCTAAGGGAGGGTATTTTAACAGCCAGGACTCCCACAGTAAACCTGGCTGCCCTGGAGGTGTCCAACCGAGAAGGGTGAGCACCTTTCGGGGAGACACAAGACTCCCACATAGAAGCAGGCTGGACTCAGGAATTTCTGTGGGCCCCTCTTCTGCTTTCACACCCCCACCTGGATAATCCAGCCCCTGCATTCCTCTCCTGGGAAAGCCCACATGTAACATTCCCACTAGCCTGGAGGGTCAGGCTGAAGTAGAAGGAAGAGGAGGGGCTGGTGGGGAAAGTGCTGAGAGCAGGTAACTGAGGCCTCCTCAGGTGGGAGGACAGGGGAGGGAGCCTCGGGAAGCAGCCTATTACCAAAAGGAGCTGAGTTTATAAGAAAATAAAACTACCGGGGGAGTGAGGACTTCCTCTGAGAACAAACTCTTGCCAAGCTGGGGCTGTCCAGAGATGCTTGGCCTGAAAGGAAGTGTGAGGCTGGGCAGGCTGGTTCCGGAGGCCCCGAACCACAGGGACAGAGGGGAAGAGCCGGGAGGTCATCTTTGGTAAGACCAGCTCAGGACAGCCTTGAGCAGAGCCCAGCTCCCTCTGGCCAAAGGGACTCGGTGAAGAGATCCCTTGGGGTGGGAAGGGAAAAGCTCTTCTGGCCAGATAGAGGCATGGATGGTAGGACCTCCAGAAGTACCTTCTAGGAGCGTTCTCTCACTCACTCACATCCAGCCTTGGCCTGTGGGATCTACCGCCCCTTCCCCGGCTCCCCCACCCTCATCACCTTCTGCTCACATCTCTCGGCAATGACTGCCTCTGAGCCTGTGAGGGAAATCTGGGCCCCGAGAGGTGAAGTCAATAAAGCTCAGCATCCCTGGAAGGGTCCCTGGGATTCAAAGCCTGGCTGTTCCAACTCCAGCCCTGCCAAAAATATCCTCTCTCTGGATTCAGCCAACTGGGGGAGCCTTCACTGCTGATCTTCTGAGAGGATGGGACTCTGACCCAAAAAGGGCCCTACAGTGTGACTTTTGAGGCAAGCTAGGATTCTAGAACATGCGTGTGCATGTATGTGTGTTCTGGATCTGGGCACATGGGCTATGATGGGCTCTGAGCCCCAGCTACAACCTAGGGTGGACCCTTTCCACAGAGGCCTCCACCACCCCCCAGCAGCCTAGTGAGGGGTCCCACCCACAAGTCTCACAAACTGGGTTCTCACCCCCCCAGTTATCACAGCTCCACCCAGGCCCTCACCCCAGGGTGCAGAGGGAGGCGAGGGGTATCCCAAACTGGCCAGAAGCTGGGAGGAAGGTGAGGAGGAAGCCTGCTGGGAGGAGGACCCCTGGGGTCCTGAGCTGGGTATGCTGTGTGACAGAGGGTTACTTCCTGCCCCTCTCTGGACCTCGGTCTCCCCCGAGTCTGTGCCACCCATCTCATCTTGGGGAGAAGGCTTAGGCGGAAGGCGGTTTGTGCTCTATTTCTCAGAAAGTGGGAGAGGATGAGTTCGGGTGCGGATGTGAGAGGCATCAGGCTGACTCTGCCAGGCTGCCGCTCGCCCTCTCCCTCGCTCCCCATGCTGCCCAGGGGCCCCCAGCTCAGGGTCCCCACTGACATAGCTTCCTCCCTACTTCCTGCTGCCCCTCTTTCCTGGCAGGACTCCCCAGGGACACCCCAGCAGAGCACATTCTAATTCCCACTCGCTGCTGTAAGAACTCAAGGAAAACCCTCCTCTCCTAAGCCCCAGCTTTCTGCCTCCTGAGACAGGAGATGAGGCACCACAAATCCCGAAAGACCATCTCCTCCCTCCTGGCCGGAGAGGAGAAGGTCACCCCAACTGGCTGGGCCTTGTTACTGGGACCAAAAACGGGGCCCCAGAGAGGCCCAGAAACTCACCAGGGGACACAGAACACAGCAGCCAAGCCTCTGAGGAAGTCTCTCTCAACCCCTGACATCGCGAGAGGACATGGGTGCCAGAGAAAAGCAAAAGGAACGTCCCAGAACCTGAGCACACCCAGAACCTCACCTCCTTCCTGTGAAGGATGCAGGGCCACACAAGCAATGCAAACCCACAGCCCTGATGGCTTGGAAGAGAGGTCCCCGACAACGCAGCCGGGGAGAAGGGAACCAAAGGGGCGGTCTGGGAAATGCCCCCCTGGGGTGTGGAGGTTAAGAGGGGGAGGACTGTAGATGTGACTCACTGGTCATCTCCAACTCTCTTCACCCATGCCATGTCCCGCTCCGACTGGGTGGAGGCCAGATCCTAAGGGGGAAGATTGGGAGGTCAGACCCTTGCCAGGACTCCCCTGCTCCATGTGTGTACTCAGTAAGAAAGTCCTGAATTCTAAAGGTTGCTCCCAGCAGCCCCTGGATCTCTACAGGGCTCTGGAGGCGCCAGAGCAGGGGCCCGGGGTTGCCGACGCTGCTGCCTACCTGGGCCCGGGTCTCCTGCAACTGCTTCAGCTCCCCCTGGAGCCGCTCGCACTCGGCCTGCAGCTGCTCCTCCCGGAGCTGAGCCCCCCGGGCCTCTCCCTGGGCAGCCTCCAGAGCCTCTTCTAGCCGCCGCCGCTCCAGCTCACTCACGCTCGGTGTGGGGCCTGGCCAGCCTGCTAGCAGGGGACAGGACAACGTCAAGCTGGGTCCAGCCGCTGGGCACCCTCCACCGACAGCCAGAGCAGCACAGAGGGAAATGGGTGAGAAGTGCAGCATGAGGGATCCAAGAGAGACAGCCAGAGGACAGATAGCTCGGGTTAAGAGATACCTCTACCAAGGGCAGTGGCGAAGGATGGGCTGAGCTGCTTTTTCTAATCTCCCTGGAGGCTAGGGAAAAAATAAGGAGGCCTCTTGAAGGGCTTCCCTGGCCAGACACAAGTGTCTGAGCATCCTCAGAGGCAGCTCCTAATCACAATCTAAGACAGGCCGGGGACTCTGGCTGGGGGCACCCTCTGCTGGCCTATACAGGAATTGCATGAGGGAGCCAGAGAATGAGGGAGTTAAGACGGGGAGGTCAGCGAGAGAAACTGGGGTAACAGTGGATGGGGTGAGGGACTAGTTGGTAAGAAGAAAAGGGGCGATTATAGGAGAAATTTAAGACATTATAATGGGATGTCGACTATCAATCCAAGAAGCTGGAGATGTCCAATGGTGTTGAAATGGGGGGTTGGCTGGGGGACTTTGGGGTAGGAAAATCAGGGCCCGCTGAGATCTCACCGTGACTCAAGCCAGGTCCCCCTCTCAGGGCCAAGTAGTGCAGGTCCAGATCAGCACAGGGTGGGGCAGGGGCCGGCGGGGGGCTCAGGCTGGGGAAGGCTGCATCCCGGAGGCTTTGCTGCTGCCGCAGCTGCTGTTCCAAACCACAGATCTGCCGCAGGTGGGTCTCCACCAGGGCCCGCTGCGGGAGGAGACAGAGGGTGAGGGTGTGCACAGGGCCAGGGTGCTCCTGTGAGCCCCCAAGCCCAGGACTTCCCCATGTCTGGGTAGCCATCACCCCCCAAACTGAGCACATGTCCCAGCTCCACTTTCCAAGTGGCCATGAGTGCGAGGTCTCCTCTCCCAGCAACTGCAATGCAGATGTTTCTGGCCACTGCCCCTTGCAAGGTAGAGTTAATGCCTCTTCCTGTCACTAACACACAGGGATCCTTATAAGAACCCTGTCCAGACACTGCCACCCCCTCAGAAGCATAAGAACTTCTATTTGCATATGTGACCTAACCACTCTGGGCTTCATCTACCTCATCTACAACATGGGGATAACCACACCTACCTCTCAGGTTTGTTATGACGATTAAAATGAGTAAATGTATCTAGAAAGATAAGAATGGTGCCTGGCACACAGTAAGTGGCACATAAGAGTTTATGATGATTAAGGCAATGCATTTTTACACGAACACCCCACAATAGTTCTGCGAGGTTGTTATTTGCCCCGCTTCTCAGAGGAAGGATGGGGGCTAAGCGCCCTGACCTAGGTCACAGCCAGGAGTGGACAGAGACCCCGTCTCCTGATTCTGACACCTGCCCACCTGCTCACATGCGTGGTCTTACTCTGACTCAGAATCACACACATGCCAAGACCCACCGCATTCCCACAGACGCTTCTGGTCACCTCTGCCCTCACCTACAGCCTTCCGGGCACAGCGCTAAAGCATAGGGGTGACCCAGCATAAGACTCAAATATACAGAATGGGGTCACTCACATAGTCACCTCCTGTCACTGCATGGCCAGGATGTACACAGAGCCCCATTCACAAGACTAAATGGGCACTCACAGACACAAACAAACACAGAAGGGGACACCCCACAAGCACACACATGGGGTTGCACACAATCATACAACCAGGGTCACACCCCCAAGCACCCCAACTCTCTGGGCCTCACCATCTCCCCTAGCTCCGTCTCCAGGTCGTTCTTCTCCACGCAGAGTTTCTCATAAGCCTGGATCATCTCCCCGAGCTGTTCTTCCTGCTCCTTATTCTTCTGCAACTGGACGGGGCCCAGATCAAGTCAGGCCCATCCTTGACTTGGGGGCTGAGCAGCTCCCTGCGCCTCCCACCCCGACTCCCAGCACCCAGTGGAGGGGCGGGAGGAGCTGCAGCCAGTTCTAAGGAAGACCACGGCCATCTCTGACCAAGGAAGGCCAGAGGCTGGGGGGGGGTATCAGAAATTGACAAGAGCAAGGAGCTCAGGGAGCTCACATGGTCTGGGAGGCCTGCGAGAGACTCACCTCATGCTGGAACTGGTTGAGCTGTTGCTGCAGGCTGACCTTCTCCACCTCCAGCAGGGAGCCATCCTTGATTTCATACAGAGAGAAGCCATGCTCCTCTCCAAAGTCACTGATCAGTGGGTACTGCGGGAGAGGCAGGCCCTCAGGAGAGCTAGTGCCCGGCTCCCTGCCCAGGCTTCCACCCACTGGGCCCCCACCCCACATCCTGCCTCAGAGTCCTCGCCTCTTCCTCCCCACTCCAGTGGGATCTGTACATCCCAGTTCCCACCGGCCTGTAGGCATCTCCACCAACCAGATCTTTTTTAGATCCAAGAGATCCCTCCTGATCCCTTCCTGATTGGCACTGGACTCTCCAGAGTTCCCATCCAGAGCAGCCGCATCACTCGAGCTCTCAAGAGTGTGCACCCTGACCCCACCTTTGGATCCCCGGAATCTCTGCTGAATCCCCAGTTCCTGCCGCCCAGCACCCCCCCACACACACAGCCAGACCCCTCATCTCCAGGTTCTGACCTTGATCTCGTAGACTTTGAGGCGCCGTCGGAGTGTGGCATTCTCCCTCTCCAGGCCCCCCAGCCGCTCCTTGATGTCTCCGTAGGCTGTGATGAGGGCAAAGTGGGAGGCGGAGCACATGTCCCCCCCCAGGGAGGGGTCTCCAGGGGCATCCAGCCACACCTCACTGGGCCCCAGGGCCTCCTGGGTCAGGATGCTGATGTCATCCTCAAACATGGACTCCATGGCAAGGGCCCGGGCTGCGGCCCCCCCTGGGCCTCCTGGGAGAGCAGGAGTAATAGTGGAGAGAGCAGCCTGGAGCTCGTCCCATTCCCCTCGTCCTGGCCTGAGGAGCCCTGTGGCCAGTTGAGATGTAGCCTGGTCCTGCCCCGTCTCCCACAGCCCCTCCCAGACAACTAAGGCCCATCTTCTCTTCTCTGCTATCTTTGCAGGAAGGGCTGGGACCAGGGGAAGACTTGAGGGGAGGCGTGACGACCAGTAGGGACAAATAAGTCAGGCCAGCAGTGAGGAAGGGATCCTTCCGGAACCCAGGGAGACCTGTGGACAGGAGAGGGCTGCTGGTCCTGCCTTCCCAGCGCTGGCTGGCTGGACGGGGCCTGCCTTGACTCACTCCTCAGCCCCTTCTCCACCCCAGGCCTCACTTCCCCAAATACCTCTCCACCAAGCTCCTCATCCCAGGCCTCTGGCACCCCTGGCCCCTCCCTAAGGAAGGCCCAGTGCTTCCGGGAGGGTCAGTCCCCTACTGTTAGCATGTCCTCTGCTGGGCCCCCACCCAACTTCCCAGCTTCCTCCTGCAGGATCCCAGAGTTCAGGAAAAGGAAGTGCCTCCCCCACACCGGGGCTGTGGCAACCCTCCAGGCCCTCCTCACCCTGACCCGCGACCCACAGGAAGTCCTGGCCTGAGTGTCAGAGGGAACACCGAGGGGAAGGGACCTCTGGGAGGCAACACAGACGGCAAGGGGGCTCTGAGAGAGGGCCTCGGAAGAATTCAGGAGCCGGACCCTGGGCCTGCACCCTGGGAAATGGGGAGCCCTGCAAGGGGGCAGGAATGACTCAGGGCTCCCGAAGGAGTAGGCAAGGGGGTGCGCGTGTACTTCTGCTGGCCCTGTTTATGAATGTGTGTCTGTGGCTGGCATGTGTGGGGGAGAGTGTGTGTGTCTGTGAATGAGTGTAGGTGTGTCACAGTCAATGAGTGCCTTGGCGGGGCTGCGTGGGGGTCGGGGATGGAGTTGGGAAGTGGCCGGGAGGCCGTGTGTGTGTGTGTGTGTGTGTGTGTGTGTGTGTGTGTGTGTGTGTGTTTGTGTGCGCGTGTGTGCGTGAGCGTGTGTGAAGGGTGGGCACGTTCGGGGCCGTGTGTCACGTGAGGCACTATGGGAATGTCCGAGGTGTGTGCGCGCTTGCCGGAACGTGTGCGCGTAAGAGAGGGGGCTCCTGAGGTGTGAGCTGAGACCTGGGGTCTGCTCACGGCCAGGCAGCGGGCGCCTGGGGTGGCGAGGGCTCAGGCCGAGGCCCTAACACCGTCCCCCACTAAGTGCCAGGGAAACGGGGGCCGGGGCCGAGTAAGGAGTGTGTGCCCGGGTGTGTAGGGCCGGCCCCACCTTTAACCCTTTCCTCCCCAGGCCCATGCCCTCCCCCCAACTCCGCCCGCCAGCGCTCACCACACCCCCCAGACCAGACCCCCTGCCCGCCACTTCGGGCCCAACCCCACTAGCGGGGGCTCCGTGCCCTGGGCCGCCCCGCCAAATGTTTCCGTCCTCGGCATTCTCCCCTCGGCCCGGGTGAGCGCCGTGGAAGGCGGATGGGGAGGGGGTGCCTCCTCGGCCCCGGGCCCCTTCTGCGGCCCCTTTAAGAGCCGCCCTTTAAACCCCTTTAGCTCGGCGGACAGAAATTGTCGCCCCTCCCCTCTCGGGGGCCAAGAGCGCGCAGCCCCCTCCCCGCCTCCGGCCGAGCCCCGGGCCCTGCGGCCGCCGTCCCCGGCCGGGGAAGGGGCTCCCGAGGCGGTGCGGCCTGAGCGGCGGCGGCGCGCGGGCGACGCGGGCACTGCGGGCGCCCGGCGCCGGACCCTTCCCCTCCCCGCCACGCTGGGCCAACTGCTGGCCGACCTCCCGCCCCCTCCCGCCCACCCGCGACCCCCGGGTGCCGGCCCGGGGCCGCTCCCCCCCCCCGCCCAGCCCCGCCGGGGACTCACGGCTGCTGCCGGTTCCTGCTTGTGATCGCAGCTTACCCCCTCCGCCTGCTCCCTCCCCAGACGGGCACCGGTGCCCCCACCCCCCTGGCACCGCGCTCTGCTCTCGCCCTGTCGCCGCCGCCGGGTCTCTCCCCACCCCCCACCCCTCCCCCCAGCCCCCCTTCCTCCCTCCCTCCCGCCCCGCTCCTCCTCCGCCGCCGCCGCCTCCTCCTCCTCCTCCTCCTCCTCCTCCCCGGCTGCTCCGGGTTTCTCCAGCTGGGAAGGCGCCCCGGACCCCGCTGCCACCACCACCACGTGGCGAGGGGCGGCCGGCCCCCGCGGTGCGGCCCTGCATGGCGGCGCGCCCGGCGCCCCCCGGCTCCCCGCCGCGCGGCCCGCCGCCCGCGCCCCCTCCCCGCCGCCTCCCCAGCGCAGTGTGGCGTGGCGTGGTGCGCTGGGTGTCGGGGGCGTCTGCGGACGCTGCGGGGCTCAGGCGGTGCTTGGGGTTTTGCTTTGGGGCTGTATATTTGGGGGAAAGTAAGGTTATTTATTTGGATTTTTTTTTTTTTGGTCTTTGCTCTTTTGAGAAGAAAAATATTAGACCTACTCTTCATTGCTCTTGGAGGAGGGGCATTGCTCTGATAATAAATACACTAACCGCAGGGTCCAGTCGGAGAGATTAGAGTTAAATCTGTCACTTCTTCGGAAGTGAGAGTGAACTAAGGAGGTCAAAGGTTCATTTAGGAAAGGGGACAGCTACCCTCGCCACACACACGCAATCCCCTCCCTCAACACACAGAAGCACTCACAGGCCAGCGACGTGAAGAATCAACGAATTCCACCCTTTCCACAAAGATTATTTGAGCACCTGCCAAACCCCTGGGCAAGACAGACAATTTTTTTTTGCCACTTTCCCACTCTGTGACCTTGGGCAAGTTACTTAACCTCTCTAAATAAAGTTGAAGATAATTCCTGACCCCATCAACCATGGAGGAAAAATGGGGTTCAGAACTAAAGGTGCTGTGAATCTTCAGGAGGTGTTTATAAGCCATTTTGATTATTCCCTGATGGATTAAAACACGTGGGTAGAGGGATGGTTAGCCTGACTACTGGAGGGAGTGATGGGGGAACTCTGGAGGACTCTAGCTAACTGCTGACCAGCTGCCCCTAGAATCAGGGAATAGGCTGAGGATGGGGCTTTTGGTAAGCTTAGCATTTAGCTGTGAATCTCCCCATTTAGAGGGAGGGTCCAGGCTGCTGGGAACCTAAATCTACCTCTCTAGGGGGAGGTGGGATGAATCTGGAAGGAGGGGAGGAGGAAAGAAGAGGTTTCTTGCTTGCTGTGAGCTTTGAGAAGCAGCAGCAGCTGCCATCTTGCCCCACTGTAGGGAGAAGATTGGACAGAGTGGTGAGCTGCTCCTCCCAGGAGAGCCAGCAGGGGCCGTGGACTTTTTCTCTTCAAAGAAATTCTCACTAGCTTCCTTCCTCCTTCTGCTGCTGGGTTCCTTTTCTAGCCCAGAGCAGGAGGGCAGGTCAGCTCCTTGCTCTCTGAGGCACTACCTTTCTCTGAGCCCTGTGGGACAACCCACCCGCCCTCTGGATATGAAGGGCCATCTGTTACCCTTCTGAGGTAATCCTGAGGGCTGGGGAGATGTCACTTTCCTTACTACTGCACAAGTTCTCTTCTGAAGCAGAAGAATAGGCCAAAGATTGGATGCTAGGCTAGAGGGCGTCAGATTGTTTCTCAGTGAGCTGGACCTGTGAAACTGACTAGCAAACCCTCCCTCACTGGAAAGGGCAGTGGGCCCAGGTACTGCCTGAGTGCACACTCTGCCGGATGAGGTGGCAGCCCCCACTGCTGCTGGGCTGTTCAGGGTACAGCCCTGAGTCACCAGGCGGAGCACAGCCCAGTGGTTCCTCCTGGGTTCTCTGCAGTTGGTGACAAAAGCCCAATAGAGATTAGACCTGGCTTAGGTGCCCCTAAAATACCACCCCCCCAATCTGGACCTGATCTCATCGCATTCCCTTTCTTCCTGGTTCTGTTGCTCATACAGGACAGACAGTTCTGAGAGCAAGAGGGACTGGATCCCAACTGTCATCATATCCCCAGGTGCCCTGATGGTGCCTGCTTACTGTGCCTTTATTCACCAAAGGTTTCTTGAACACCTGTGATGTGCTGGCTGCTGAGAATACAGTGAGAAGCATGTCTCTGCAGGACAGACGTGTCTCTCTACCCCTCATGGAGCTTATATTCTAGCAGAGGAGTCAGACCAAAACAAAAGATTAATAAATGAAACAATTAAAAATTGTGATAAAGGGTAAAAGTACACAAGGGGCAGCAATAGAGAAGAATGGGTCAGGGGGAATCTGCCTTAGATAAATTAGTCAGGGAAGGTCTCTCTGATGAGATGACGTTTAAGCTAAATCTTAAAGGTAAGGAGTGTTCTTGGTCGAATGAATCAATGAATTAAGCAGTGTGACTGTAGATTAGTTACTACAGAGGTGAAGTAACTAATTTCACCTCTCTAGGCCTGTTTCCTCATCTGAGAAAGCCGGAGGTTGGTCTGAATTCCTTCTAAGAACCCATGATATTATCAGGGCGCATCATGGTGGAGACGAAAAAAAAAAAGGTAACAACCAGGGGCATGGGGAAGGGGAAGTGAGGTAGGAGCTCAGGTGGGAGAAGGAGAGGACGGAACGTGGTACACAGCTGGTCAGGCAGGAGCTGTAAGACATTTCTAAATGGTGTTTAGTAGGAGAGGACCCGCCTCCAGTAGTTCCTGTTAGGAGAGGCAGCACAAAGTAGGGCCCCGTCACCCTGCATGTTTCCTCCTTGGAAACCATCGGGGAGCGGCTGTCTCCCACTCCCGGGACCCTTGTTCTGGAGAAGGACTTTGTCTTTCCTGTCCCATTCTTGCCTGAAGAGAGTAGAAGGAGGTGGCGTTAGCAGCCGGTAAAGAGACTCAATCAAAATAGAACCCAAATGACTCAACTAGAACCAGGTGGGCAGGAAAACTAATTCAACACATGTGACAATGTAGGATCCGGTGCCACCTTAGCCCTCCAGTTCTGGACCTTAGAAAATTAGGGTTCAGTCTGGAGCCATCCTGGGACGCCAACTGCAGCTGCTGGTCGTCCATGGAATCGGAGGTTTGGGCAGTGGTGGGCAGACTCATCGCTTCACCAAGTCCGCAAATTCCTGTGGAGGTAATAAATGCACATCCTCTAATCAAATTAGCAAGGTTTGGGTGGGAATTTTTGTTTTTTAAATAACTATTTGTGCTTCCTATTCTCCACAACCATGTTCATTTCTGCTATCTCCCAAAGAGAATTTTTTAGAAGTTATCATATTGAATTTTTTAATACTTCCTATGTATTATTCATTAGAACGTGAACTCCACAGGAAGGAGATTTTATTTGCTCCATTCATTGCTGTAGCCCCAGTGCCCGTGTCTGGCACATACTCAATAATAGTTGTTGATCAATTAATTTAATTAATGCACGCGCGGGGCCCTGTGGCAAGAACTTTATATGCGTTGTCTTTCGTTGGGATCCCTATTTTACAGATGAGGAAGCTGAGGATCAGAAAAGCTGAAGAATCTGCCCAAGGTCATACTCAAAAGACTGCAATATTTTGAAGGGCAGAGCTCAGGAAATAAGAGGCATTCCTCATTGCTATGGAGAGCTTATTCATACAGAGCCATTTCTTAATTCTCTTTCCCTCAGGATGGCCACAGGCTGCCCCTCTGCGTCCAGAGCTGAGGCTGGATGCCAAAGCTGAGATGTACTTTCCTTTCAGACAAGAAGGTACATTTCACACTGAGGAGAGCTCAGCTCAGGAACTTATGGGCTGGGAGCACCTGGGAGAGGGAACAGCTCAGGCTTCATAGGCCTCCTGCCTGCGCTGCCCAGATCAGCTGACGGCGACAGGGTAATTCAGATGTGGAGCTTACTCAGCAGCCTGTGGCCTTTCTGGCCACCAGGCACCAACATCCTACCCTCCCCCAGCCCTGGCTCCTGAAAGCTTCTAGCTCAGAGGGAAAACGGGGCAGAAGTGCAGGGAGATGGTTCAAACTCCAATGGGGAGGAAAGTTGACGTTAGGGAAAATTGTCACCCCCATCCCTGAATTGAGAGTTCAACAATTGACAAAAGGTTAACAATGGAGTTCATGATAGAATTAAGACCAAATAGCTTTGCTATTTAATTCCCAAAACCGTTCATCCAGGGCTCTCCCTGCTTGTCAACTATAAGCTTGCTGGGAGCAGAGGCTCATGGGCTCATCCTGTAACCCGCATGCTACACGGGTATGCAACAGCACATGGGACAAGCACAGGCTTGTCAGTTCTGCTTGCTAGCCCACGTCACTTTGGGTGAGGTCCTTAGACCCTCTGTGCTTGTATTTTCTCATCTGGAAAATGGGACTAAAATGGTGCCTCTGTTACAGTGTTGATGAGGATTACCTTTATTACTCCACATAAGATGCTTATTACAAACCTGGCATCCGGTAAGTGCATAAAATGGACACCATATAATGACTAACTATTGACTAATCCTGTTCCCATTCCTGCAATTAACCCACGGTTAAGAGGCTTGCCTGAAGTCATCCAGCAAACAGAGGGATGAGCTAGGAGCCCAAGTCTCCTGAGGCCCTGCCATTTCCGGGTTTCTGGAGGCTCTGCCTTCAAGGGCTAAGTGATGCCATTCCAGAAACTCCCTGAGTTGTACTGACATGTCATTAGTTCAGCAAATATTTATTAAAGGTCTACTATATGTCAGGCACTGCTCTTGGCTGGGGACACAGTGGTAAATAAGACAGCCAAGGTCACCAAATTAGAGAGCTTACATTATAGTTGGGAAACTGGCAATAAATAAGTAAAATTTAAAATATACTTTTGGATAGTGCTGTGAAGGAAAGGGGTGGTTTCTCATAAATATGTACACCGTGGACCCTTGTCTTGTGTCACTAAGATGCTGTCAGCATCTGTCTGGGTCAGACCTGAGAAAACCCTAGGTTTTGCTATCTGACAGACCTGGGTTTGAATTCCAGCTCCAAGTGACCTTGGGCCAATGAATCCTGAGTCGTTTAGCTCCTCCCTCATCCGCAAAACAGAAACAGTGACTGATATTAAGGTTGTTGTGAGAATTGACACAATGGAACATATAGAATTTCCTCAATGTTTTACTATTTTTCACTTCAGGCAGGTCAAGCTGGAACCCTTGATGAGGTCAGACAAAACTGTAACCTTGTTCCATATGTTCTTTTTAAGTGTTTGCTCAAGAGGGGGTATATGGGAATTGGGAGTTACCTGGTATATGCAATTGGGAGAACTGTTGAAAAGGAAAAAAGAATTCCCTGGGAGCAGCGATTCCTCCCTGCCGCTTGATAATCCACTGGGATCATTCTTCCCTCTAAGTACACCTTCAATGGAGAAACGTTCTTGGTCGATTGCCATCACTCAGGATTTAATGCAGTCTTATAAAAATCACGTTACCCTTTATAACCCAGTAATCTCCAAAATTGGGCATAGAAATATTAGAAGTTCTATTTAAATTTATTTTTCATATAATTGCTTTTTAATATCTATTTTTGTGTCTTATGATTACACAATGAGTACAGTAGTACAGGTATATAATTTATCAACACACGGGGGTATGCATGATCAAAAAGTTCTTACTGACAGGCTGTGCAGTCAGAAAAGGTGAAAGGTAGGAAAATTAAGGTCAGCTCTCATTTTACTCGCCCAACATAAACTAAGGAAGTGCGTATTTCTATAAAGTAGCCTGCAGGCGCCACTATGCTAATAAGCAGCAGGGTGAAAAAAAGGACCCAGTTTTTTAAATTCCAAGTTAGTGTTCTTTTCTCTACAAGTTTCTGGCGAAAAAAGTGGAAGTAGAAATTAAATACATGCTGCAAACTAAGTAAAAAGCCAACCTTTGGCAGAGCCATTAAACAGACCAGATCATTAGCCTGGAAAATATGCACAAGACAGAGGACAAGCTGCAGCAGCTTCAGAATCTCTCCGACCGAGGGACCTCCTCGCGGAGGGCTTTGTCACTACCTCATCTGTAGGCAATTCGTTCTCCATTTATTTCCCATGACACTACGTAGAGTCCATTCTTAAGACAGATGTGCCTCTCCCCAACTCACACGCACATCTGTCACCACCACACGCTCCAGCTTCTTTCAAACCATTCATTTCACCTCCAAGGAGGTGACACCATCTGGAACCAAAAATGAAGCGGCAAAATGTTGAAAATAAAAATAAAGCGGACTTTATTTAGAAGATAAAGGTGGTGGTATCAGTTTTGGTTAATAAAGTTGGGCTCGAGTGTTTTAACAGGTCTTTAATGCCATCACAGACTGGCATGCCAAGGGCATTCTGAATGCCAATTACAGACTGAAGTTGTTTCAAAAACCAAGATGCTATCAAAAGCTGATGGAATTTGGATTTCTCTTAAAGTCAGACTAACACACTTCTTAAATATAAGAGTGACTAGATTACTTGGTTCTGAAAGTGAAAACACTACACTGAGCACTTCCCCTCCCTTTCTCCACAAGTCCCTAAGGCAAAATTACAGTTGCCTCTGACAGCCAAAATTTCAACATTTCAACAAAGGGGAGCTGAGGGGAACTGGGAAAATGAAAAGCAAAATTAATAAATGTAATTGTAATTGATATAGGCAGCTGCCACTTGTGGCAAACCAAAGCCTAGTCCGATGCCCATTTTCTCCACATTTGCACCGACATCTTCCCAAGCAGACGGTAACTACATTCTTGAAGGAATGTGCCAAGACTAGGGTGGGGAAGGCGCAGACAATGAGTGGACAGAATGCATTTTTGCATCCAGTTCCCTTAGGTGGTACAATTGATTAAGGACAAATACCCCGACTATGGAAAACCCACTAGCCAAAGGTAACTAGAAAAGAGGATTAAATGCATAACCAGTGCAGAATAACTGCGAGGCACCAAGACCACCATCCAACCAGCCCATTTTCCTCCTCTCCATCACTGAATGGATCTGGGAGAAAGCATTAATAACAGCACTTGTCAACTGCTTCCCTGGAACAAAACACGACAAAACACACGGAAGGTTTTGTTTTCATTATGGTTCTCGGTGTACTTTATTCTCCTGCTGTCTAGCTAAGCAGCCCACACAGGACAGAAATGGGTAGCACTGAGGAATGATCAGATTTTTTTCTCCCCAAAATTCCTGCCCCCTCCCTAAGCCCTGACCAACCTCTATCAGGAATGGTGAGTAGACCATCCTCTCAAGGAACGATTACAATTTAAACAAGGCATTAGAGGGCCAGGTCTCTTCTTAGTAGGGCTTAGGAGCTGGTGCAAGATCTTTATTCACAATGGAGCGTCTTTCCTTCCAACACCTGGATTTTTTTTTTTGTACACTGGTTCATAGATCGGCACTTGACTTTGAACCTGGCACCAAAAGGCACAATATCTGATACCCTGTACAAGAGCTATTAGAGATGCTGCCATATGGATGGGCAAAACAGAGCCAATCCCACTTATGAATGGAAGGCTTGGACAGGCAGGGGAAAAGGAGGTGAAGAGAAAAACATAAGTCCCTATTTTTTGCTAGAATGGAAATGGAAGTGGGAATTTAAGGTCTTGTTATTTTTAATCATCCAAAGACCAGGAAGCAATTAAAAATCTTCCTTGGTGTTTTTGAAAGCAGCATATTCAAAATGCCAGCAAAAATTCCTAGTAACTGCAAAACCAAAAGGGGATCAAAGCTCACTGACATCCCTCCTTATTGCTGAAAGGTTCTAAAACCAAAATTCAGGGTGCTGAATTTGTAAAAGGGAAGATAATCAAGTCTGATTCATGGTTATCACAGCACATCACACTTTTAAAAAATATATTAAAGTGTGTGACCAGGGGAATGTTTGACACCATTTATTAATCTTCAACTTCAGTGGAAAAATATAACCTTTTCAAGTGCCATTTTCATCACAAGAGTTCTAGCATTATATATATATACTTTTATATATATATAGGTTTTTTTGTTGGTTGGTTTGGAAGTGCAGCAAGAGACCAATACCGCATTGTAGTTAATCAAATAAAAGAGAACAGAAGCCCAAGCAGTTTCCAAATGGTTCTTTTATCAGATTGTTCGAACAGTAAATTTATCCTTGTTTGCAATCCAAAATAGTTACCTGAAGTTTGCTCTGTGTGTGTGTGTTTACTTTTATTGTGTATTTGTTTTCTAAACTCTTTGGCACAATTTTCTGGGGGCATTCAGACTGCCACGATACATGTCAGGAGAGAACTTTTCTTTTGTGCTGCCAATTCTAAGCATTTAAATTTTGGTTTGTTTGGGTGTGGCTTTCTTTTGTTTTTGAAGTCTGCATTCTTTGTTTGTAACAATTGTATTTTTATTTTTTTCTATATCCTCTAACTCCAGAGTTTTCTTTTTCTCCCCCCTCCCCCCCTCCCACTTCTACATTCACAGTTGAACCATATTATTAGGAAAGGCGTCTTGATGAAAAGATCAGGATGGGAGCTCTGACCATTCGTCAGTGTTTTCCCTAGAATTAAAAAAGAAAACAAAAAACAAAACCTAAAGAGCGTCTTTCCTTTTTTTTTTTTTTCTTACATCTCTTGTGCTGCATCAGTAGACAGAACTTCGGTTAGTTTTATGAAATGCAATGTCTAAACCCCTTTTATCTGGGAAAAAGAAACTGCAATGACTTGAAGTTGAGAATGTGGATACCGCCTCACTCACACACACTCATTCTCAGACTGGAAAGAATCCCTCAGCCTCCTTTTAGCCGGCACACATACAGTGTGGCAAAGGTACACCAAAGGTGGGCTTGAGACCCAGGCTCCATCTTTCTTACCAGTAGCAAAGGCCAGGCTGCCTTTTACAACAAAGCACCACAGCTGAACCCAGTCCCTCCTCCTCTCCCAAACCAGTCACTCCACTCTGCACCGGCCAAAAGGCAGAAAAGCTAGTTCTAGCTCTCTGCAGAGATAGCCTTCTTTTTTTAAGCAAGTAAATCCATCGTTTTTCTTTTCCAAGACGGCCGGCGTATGGTTTCCTACGAAGCCAGTGCTTACTTAGCTCACTCACAGCGCTGCTGTTGGCGGCTGCAGCTGCGGCTGCGGCTGTGGCAGGATTTTCAATGTGGTGTGTTTTCAAGCCTCACTCACTCATCCTCTCATTCCCAAACATTCAGCATCCGTGCACACTCCTCACTTCCGGGTTTTTCAAAAGATTGGAGATTTCCAGTGGGGGTCTCAGGTTATCATCCCAATGGTAACAGATCTAAAAACAGATGAAAAGAACGGTCAGTTTCTGAGATCACATCTAGCCAGTAAAGTCAAACACCTCTTTGATTGCTACAATTAAGTTCTCATAGGCCTGAACTAAATTTGTCAACTTTCCAAGCACTGATTATTCTTCTTCTCTTCCTATGTGCCATCTTTGTTGTTAGTGATGTCGAGTCAATTCCGACTCCTAGCAACCCCGTGGATAGCAGAGTGGAACGCTGCCTCGTCTTTTTGCACCATCCTTTCATCCTCCCGCACTCTATCAGACAATGCTCCTCTGCCATTTATAGGATTTGTTTTGGAAATGGGTGGCCAGGTCCTTCTTCCTAGTCTGTCTTAGTCTGGAAGCTGCGGTGAAACCTGTCCACCACTGGGGACCCTGCTGGTATTTGAAATAGAGGTGCCAGTGCTTTCAGCATCACAGCAACATGCAGCTGCCTCAGTATAAGGATTGACAGATGGGCAGTGTGGTTCCCTGACTGGAAAATGAACTTGGGCCGTGGCTGTGAGAGTGCTGGATCTTAACCACTAGGCCACCAGGGCTGGCCATGTGCCAACTACCTGCTTTCATTAACACCTACATCAGAGGGTGGGAGGGAAACTAAAAAGACACAACTCAAAAGAGTCCATTTTACTGAGCTCTGTGGTGTAAGATAACTGGTATGTGAGAGGAAAGTAAATTAAAACTGCATTTCAAAGCAGGCTCGGACAGTTCTGGCTTCGGGTATCTTCTGTGGAGCTAGGCAACATCTAAAAGCACCGCAGTCAAGAAAGAAACGAGCATGAAGATGGGAATAGAGTGGAAAAGAGAATTATGGAAAAATGCCATTATTGATGACTTTATTAGGACCCAAAGTGATGTGGGGACTTCAGTGAATTCTTTTTACATAAGTTCTGTTCTTCATCACCATGAGGAATCAAACGTTTGGCTCAAGTCAAGATTGAGGGTGCCTGACCCTTCCACTCGTCCCAGGCTGAGGAACAAAGGCCTGGCTCAGAAGCACTTATTTGGGAAGGAGTACAAAACAAAACACCAGAAGAAAGGCAGCTCTCGTCAGAACAGTCTACAGAAAATGTACCTCTTCCCCAAGAAATCAGAAGGGGGCAGTAGAGACAAGTTCTTACCAAGCTTGGTTCTTCAGTTTCCTCAGTTCTTTTGTTGCCCATGTAGCGAGGGTTTTTGCTTTGTTAGTCTTCGATCTCCGTCCTTCAGTTAACAGTTCATGGATCATTGGCCTAGCTTCTACTAATTTCAGTACATCCTTCCCAAATGCTGTACACAAGTCCCTGGGCAAAACAAACAACTGAAAATGAGCTCCTGGCCCTCTACCAGTATCATATTTTGGGCTTTCCAAACCAGTGCTAAGCTAGCTGCGGGCTTCTTCTGAGTATTCACCTAATTTTTAACCCTGGGAGAAACTTTAGAGATAAGTCAGTCTAACACCTGCCCTCAACAGATGAGAAAAATGAGGTCTGAAGAGACAGAATGACTCACCTAAGCTTCTACAGCTAATTCATGGTAAAATCAGAATTAGAACAGCCAGGTCTTGGAGCTCAAGACCAATGTTCTTTCTTCTAATGATGCCTCAGAAACCCTCAGTAGGGAAGGCTAAACAGAGGCAATTTGTTGACCAACATCAAAATATGGGATGGACACGGAGCTGCTGCTGCTTCTACACTCAGAACTAAAGAGTTTAGTGGGGGAGAAATTAGCAATCTAGATGGTCTGGAATGAGGCTAGAGCTAAAGTCTGAAATGAATTATCATTTATGAGAACTCAAAACAGGATACCAATGGTTCTATTAAAGAAAGAAATTTCTGTGCCGAAGAAGTGGGTAATTACCATCCAGGCTACTCTCAAAATTCCTTACTACACGTCCTCTCATTTCCCGTGAGAAGTTCTATTCAGCTGTTGGAAGCAGGGTATAACCTACCCTATCAGTCCAGCAGCACAAGCTACTACTCCGTCTGTATGATCCTCGTCTCCAGCAATGTGGTCAATGAAAGACAGAATAAATTCTACTCTGGGTTGCACCAGCATCACGTCCGCTATAAAAGAAAGAGAAGGTGTGATGAAGATGTCCCACCTTTGGCAGGATTACACCCCATTTCAAAACTTCCAAATACTCCACCCCCACGAGGCAGGTTTCAGGCTGGAGAACTAGCTGCATATAGTTATAAAGCAAATGATTCCTCCTCAGATTAAGATGTCATTCTTCAAGTCAACAGAAGAGGCAGACAGTCCTTTTCTTACAAGCAGATGGAACATAGAAGGAACAAATGGAACCTTTCCTCTAAGCCTGTGCTATCAAAGGAGTAAAGTACAAACGTTTCCCCAGTCAATAACAGAAATGTCAGGTGACAGAGGAAACCTAACCCCCCGATCTCTCCCTTCCGTCGCACTGGGGGCCCTCAACAACTGCCATTCCTGGTTGGTGTAGGTGCAGCCAGCACCAACAGCCTCGCTCGATCCCATCCCTTTCAGTGTTCAAGAAATGTGATACAAAGTAGCAGATGAAGGGGGAGCAGAATTAATGAAGTCTATATCCTCCCCCAAAGCTACTCTCCTCCTTCTCCCCTTCCTGCAAGCAGTAGGTACTAGATTACAAATAAGCTTTCATAAGAATGAAGGAAACAGCCCATTTGGCTAAGTGCACTCTGGACTGAGTTGGGCTGTATACTCAACGGTGTACGTTCTCCTGGTCTCCCTTCAATCCCTGGACGATTCCGGTATAGGCTTCCAGGCAGCCTTCCCTCAGCTCATTCAGATAATCCACCATGTCATAGTCTGACTGTAAGAGACAACGAACAGAATCGCCATCAGACTGGTCACCTTTGGTTCTATGTTTGTCAAAAGTCCCGCTCCTCCAACCAGGGCTGGCCTTAAAGATAACTTAAGCTTACCTTGTCCACCTGGGCTTGGGAGGCCTGCTGAAGAGTATTCAGTACAACTTCTAGGTATTTTTTAAATTCTCCACCAATAGCAAGGGCAATATCACCAAACACTGACAGAATCTGCGGCTTCACAGATCTGTGGACATTCTCATTCTGACAAGGGGGAAAAAAAAAAAAAAAAAAAAAAGGAAAACCAAATTAATAGAAGTCAAAATTTGTTCTGTCCAAAGACCTGAGAAATTTTTTTTTAAAATAATAAGCAACTAAGCAACTACTAATGTGCTGGGTATAGACCTTAAGGACACACACAAAAATTAACGGTGGTTCTCTCGAAGAGAGGGATTACATATTTACTTTTCCTTTATACTTTACTCGTTCCCCACCCCGCCCCCACCCAAATTCCACGCATTGAGCATGCATTCCTTTAATTAACTTTACAACCTTACTTTAGAATCATCTTGTAAAAATGAACAATTCCCTTCTTTTTAAGCCCACAGCCAACAATCTGAGAACTTACAGCTCCCTGTCATGGATCTTGATGTTTAACCATCTTTCCAACCGCCAATTCCTTCAAATACCGGTGAATTAGATTGTGTGTACAGACTCACCCCCAAGTTCTCCAGCAGGAGCTGCATCACCTCATCACAGAAAGGCAAGATGTTGGATTGCAGGGCACGGCATAAGTCTCCCACTAAGCCCACAGCTGCCAGACAAACCTGCCAAGAATCAAGGAAATGATCTCCCAACAGAACAGGCTGCTGCAGGGCTAAGGCATTACTTTTACCTAGCTGCTGGTCCCTTACGGCTTGAACCTAAAGCCAAAGAAGAAAACATTCTCCTTCTGTAAGACTAGTTCATTCTAACAACCAACATGACAGAACGAGAACTAGGACTATCCGAAATATTAAGAAAGGACAGAAAAGACAATATTCACCAGAGATGGTGGTGACAAAAGCGGGTGGCTCTTAGGGTACTACTCTGGCACACCTAGTACGCACCTGTTTCTCACTGACTACTTCTAGTTCAGCCATGTAGGGCAACAAACAAAGGAGCCCGACACTGCACCACAATCACTAGCAGGTATGAACGAGGATATGAATGCACTAGTCTGAAAAGCAGGCCTACCTGGTACTCAGCGTAATTTTTCAATCCAATGCCCAGGAAGGGTTTAAAGGCCTCCATGTACTTTAGGAATTCACCACCCAACACTGTAAAGAAACAAATGATTAGCACCACAGGATTATCACAGAAGGGAGCAAAAATAACGACCCTAGCTCTCCCAAAATGTATTCACTGCACTCAACAGGCTGGGTGGAGTGAGAGTGACTTACTGATTTTATCATGAAGATGTTAAGGCTGCCTGGGATAAGCCGAATTCACAGCTGCCGGACGGGACTCCCTGAACGCCCTGGAGCCAGCACTATATCTCCAGAGTGGGATTTCTCTCTCACTGACACAACCGAGTGGTATGGCTCTCAAGGAACGTCAAGGTGACTTGTGAATTGACTGAGCTAGCAATACTGCCTCTTGTCCACCTCATCTGATTGCAACATGTCCTCTCTGGAAGCCAGCTTCAAAACAGGGTCCGGAGGCAATTCCATCAAGGACTTACTTAAGAAGCCAGTCAGGAAAAGCAGACTGGGCTTCATATCAGAATCAGCCACTCCAGGAGACAAAATGAACTCTGTGCCCTATCAGGGTGGTCACATGCTGCCAGAGGAGTCAGACATATGCTCTTTATGTTAGATATAGGTCTGGTCCTCAGGTAATGGCCTTAGTAACATATCTTATAGGCCACCTCCGAAGAAGTGTTTCAGGTTTCTGAAGTGTTCCTTAACGGCTCTTTAAAGAGTCTCAAGTCAGACACGGCTTCCCCAAAGCAACTTTGCAAAGCCAGACTTTTGTTAACAACCAAAAAAATCAATCAACTCCTTGAACTCATTCAATGTTGCATTCCACCCCATACTAGGCACCAAGATGTGTCAACCTGAGTCCAAAGCCTTACAACCTGAACTAGGAGGAACCAAGTGCCAGGAAAGAAAATAGAAATCTTTGCTTCCTCCATCCTTGATAAAGAGCTAAACCTCAATAAAGTAGAGGCTTTCAGGAGGAAAGGAACCTGATAAACATGAGGTAGATGATAACAGTTTCCCCCCAAAAAAGGTTGCCAATCTGAGTTGCAAAGTGGCTCCCCATTTACTTCAAGGAGAGTGGCAAGGCAGTTATACACAAATTTACACTGACGTTCAGTCCGACTTGGAACTGGGTCATGCCCCAGTAAACGAGAAGACAGACCAAGCTTTCTGTGGTCAGAGTCTTCATTGCCACTGGAACTCTTGCATTCTGAAGACAGTCCCTGCCAACACTGGCTCACTGACCTTCCACCAGTGTGCTAACTGCCATCAGGGCATCCTCTTGCACTCCCCCAGACCCAGCGGTGCTTTGGAACATCCTTAATAGGGAGGCCATGACCACATCAGAGATCTGCAAGGCGTCTTGATGTTGCACTTTCCGGAGAACATTCTGTGAGATAAACAAGAGTTCTGGATCTAGATTCCAAACCCTCCAAGCAGAACACTAGACCTTTTTTAAAAAAAATCAATTAAGTCGCTTGAAAAAAAATTCTTTTGGGAAAGGTCAAATTCACTTTTTTTTTTTTTGCTGAGGAAGATTCACCCTGAGCTAACATCCATGCCAATCTTCCTCTATTTGGTATGTGAGTCACCACCACAGCATGGCCATCAATGAGTTGTGTAGGTCCATGCCCAGAAGTGAACCTGGGCTACTGAAGCAGAGCACACCAAACTTAACCACTAGGCCATGGGACCAGCCCCTCAAATTCATGTTTTGTGCTCAAAAGTTTTCATAGCCAAGGTGCTGGCCTGGTGGTGTAGTGGTTGGGTTCAAGCACTCCACTTTAGTGGCCCAGGGTTCACTGGTTTGGATCCTGGCTACAGACCTACACATCACTCATCAAGCCAGACTGTGGTGGCATCCCATATACAAAGTGGAGGAAGGCTGGCAAGGATGTTAGCTCAGTGACAATCTTCCTCAAGGGTGGAAAAAAAAAAGAGGAACACTGGTAACAGATGTTAGCTCAGGGCCAATCTTCCTCTCACACACACACACACGCACAGTTTCACAGGGGAAATCATCTGCAACAAAACACAAATTTTAATATCCCTTCTATTTCCCAATTCAGAACACACACAAGATGCTCTTCTATGGTGCAGAAAGTCATCTCCTCTGCATTTCATTTATGTCAGACAAATCCCTGTCAGTAGTGTCCATATTCCAGTCTTAGCAGAACAGCAGTTAAATTATTTCAGCCTTAAAGAAGGACATGTCAGGGCCAGCCCCATGGCTGAGTGGTTAAGTTTGCACACTCTGCTTCGGTGGCCCAGGGTTTCACCGGTTTGAATCCTGGGTACAGACATGGCACTGCTCATCAGGCCATGCTGAGGTGGCATCCCCCACGCCACAACTAGAAGGACTCACAACTAAAAATACACCACTATGTACCAGGGGGCTTTGGGGAAAAAAGGGAAAAATTAAAAAAAAATTAAAATTAAAATTAAAAAAAAAAGGACATGTCATATTAGAGTCCTTACATAAAACAAAAAAGCATTTCTTCCTATATCCTAACCCATTTACAGATGGTCAAGAAATAATCTTGATAACATAAAGCCAGACTGATCCCTCCTAATTTAATATTCCTCAAACCTCCCTCCTTACCCATTACTTCGTTTCAACTAACGTTGCTGGATCATTCCTGTATGTGTCTGATGAATAAGGAAAGACCTCTTAACAGTCATACTTTAAAAAATGAAGTTTGGGTGCTAGCCCCGTGGCCGAGTGGTTAAGTTCGTGCGCTCCGCTTGGGTGGCCCAGGGTTTCTGCGGTTCGGATCCTGGGCTCAGACATAGCACCACTAGTCAGGCCATGCTGACCTAGCACAACCAGAGGCACTCACAACTAGAATATACAACTACGTACTGGGGGGCTTTGGGGAGAAGGAAAAAAAAAGAGAAACTTGGCAACAGATGTTAGCTTAGGTGTCAACCTAAAAAAAAAGAAAACGAAGTTTGGAGTGAAAAAGAGGGGGTTCACAGGTAAGACGAGCTAGTTAGCATGACTCAACACTAAAATCTAGTACCTACCTAAGCAGCAGACAAGTTGCAGGGTTCTCTCATTCTTGGGTAAAAAAAGGAATACCTCCTCAGCCACTCCATGATTCCAGTCACGAGTGAGGAGTAATATTTTATTTTAATTTTCCCAGTCTCTCCTCAGAAAAAGTCTACTGTGAACACTAGGTACGATAAATGATGGAAATTATAATAAAGCTTCTAACAGCAACTGTTGTTTCAAAAGATGATGGTAGAAACTCAAGGCTATATTTTTAGCCAAGTGAACCATAGCTGGGAACCAAATCTGACTGGGCTAAGCCTGAACAACCAATGAAAACCAAAGACTAAAAGTTGCCAACACAATTCGCTGTGTAGCTGGAGAACCAGCACAAACCAAGCAGTTTCCTTCCCTACACTGTGCAAAACGCAAATTGCCTCTTTATAGACAGACAAGAAAGGAAGATGGGACATTACTCTCCCAATCAATCAGAGACCCAGTCCTTCTGAGAAGAGCTTCTCATCAGCATCATCTATACCATTTCAGAGTTCTCTGTGCACATGAACTTGTCATCCTGAGCTATGACTCTCTTCCCTGGAGCTATTAAGTGATATGGAAGCATCATACCTGAAGAGTAGCGCAGAGTAAAGACTGAAGGTCATTGAACTGGATCCTATCCGATGTGCTCTGGATATGTGACTACAAGGAAAAGAAGATCATCATGTTTTGAAAATAAACACCTTCTCAAAAGGCTCTCAACTCCCTCAATGCTTCCATTTTTGCTGGGTTTGCCAGGACCGCTAAATAGTCTTTACTGATGCTAATGTAGAAAAGCAAATAAAAAACTTATATATGTATGGGGTCTAACACACGAGTAAACTGTGGCAAGAGATGTAAATTTTAATTCGCAATGTTTTTTGTCTAAGCCTTCTATCTTTCTGAGAAAACATATACTCCAGCAGCACACAGTAAGAGCAGCCTTGGACGCAGAGCCGTGCTGGGAGCGCTGTAGGCTGGGAGCGCTGTAGGCCAGGAGCGCAGGGCTCACCTCCATCTGCAGCACCTGCTGCAGCCGCTCCATGATGACCAGAGTGGTTTTCTGAACGGCGGGGTAACAATCCTTGGCACTGTTCTTAACAATTTCCATCAGAGATTCATATGCAGAACTCCTGAGATTGTTCTGGTGTCCATCAGGTCTGTAAGGAACACAGCAAAAATCTTAAAGCCTCAACTGAGAGAGGAAAGAAGAGTTGTTATAATATAGACACTGTCTCACTGAAAATAAGAACCCAGAAATTGATGTGGTTGCAGACCTGGTTTGAGTTTGGCAACACAATACAGCCAGGAACCAAATTTTCCTTTGAGCCAATGGCTAACGTTCATTATGGTCTCCAGACCTGGTTAAACTTTAGAATGGCCTTTTTGAAAATTGCTAAAATTATAGGGAAAAAAATTAGTTTAAAATGCTGAAGAACCCACGTGGACAATTGAAGAGGTTGCCTGAATAGCCAAGAAAAAGATGCTAATTTTCTTCATTCATCTGTGAGAGATGCCCTTCTAAACAATCTAGAAGATAGAAGCGGAGATGAACTAGTTAAGCAGGGAAGACTTTCTACCCAGCCCTCTTCCTAACGGTTTCTTTTAAGCATGGCTTCAGGTATAGCTCACAGAAAACCAAAATTAAAGGTTGTCCCCAACTTATAGCCCCCTAAAACTACATTCCAAAAGCTCATTTAGGGGCCAGCCCCGTGGGGTAGTGGTTAAGCCTGATGCACTCCGCTTTGGTGGCCCAGGTTCACAGGTTCGGATTTTGTCAAGCCAGGTGTGGCGGAGATGCACATCAAAATAGAGGAAGATTGGCAACAGATGTTAGCTCAGAGCAAATCTTGCTCACCAAAAAAAAATCTCATTTATAAAACAACTGCATTTAATGTCAAGTGCTTTATTCAATATCATAAATGGCAGTTAATGATTTGGTGTAGCAACTAAATCCATAATGAGAGCTACTATTTGTCTTACACCATAATCAGACACTCCTGTTAACTGCGGACACTGCAAAATGAAGGGACTTCTCTATATCAATTACTCTCTATAAGCAGAGAAATGAGACTATTTTCTGACTTCACTTCTAAACTGCACAATTCTAAGGTAGACAGTCTACGTTTCTTTTCTCTCTGTCCTTTAAACACATGATCTACTACAGGATTCTTTTAATTCTTCCTATTGCAATGTTCATGATTGGGTTAGACAGCCCTCACACGTAAGACAAAAGGAGTTGGATGCAAAGACACCACCCATTTCTGTGTAGTATCAGCTACCTGTCTGTGGTCTCCAGGAGCTTCTGAACTATGAGTTCAAAAGAAGAAGATAAGCAATAGGTAGCTGGTTCTTCCTGATCATCAGCTACGTCTGCAGCTTCATAAGCAGCTTCAGCCAGACTGGAGAAAGCCTTAAACCCAGACAGAGTTAATATTAGTCCTGAAAAGAAGGCTACCTACCTTAGCATTACCCCATTTCTCAAGATACTTTGGGCAGCGTTCCTTTCGAACTGATCTAAGAACAGATCAAGGCTAGAGAATCCTCAACTTTTTCCGTCAAGCTCATCTCAAGACAACCTAACGTTTTACAGGTATCCTTAAAATTAAATGTTTATTTATTTATTTATATTTTGTTTGCCCTGCCCACAACTTTCTAAGCACGAGAGTACTTTCACCTACGACGAATGCCTGCCACTTCCCTTCTCCTTCCATTCACAGACAGGCTTCTGGCCCACTCCTTCCTCATCTGAACTTCCTCCCCACAGCCCCAAATGAACTCCATACAGCCTATACTGACTCAGCACTCAGGCCGCCTACATTCCTTCCCTCTTGCCCCTTCTCAGCAACGGTACTTTTTGTAGCCGGCAACTCTCTACCTTCATCAAAATTTCTTGTCCCCAAGCAACTGAAGAAAGAAAATCAAGTCCAGATAGTTTTCCCACTGGGTAGGCATGACTGTTCTAAATGGTTCAGGAACCAGTCACCATGAGTCAACAAGCTCCCACTGGCTAATGCAGTTGGCATCTCCCCTGTATTTTAATTGAAGAAATTAGAACGGGGATGCTATTCAGAAAAACCCTTCCAGTGAGGTAGACCCATGTCTCTCCTACACCTCCTACTTCCTTGCCAGTGGCTCGGCCAGGCTCCTTATCTCAGCAGAGAAAAAAATCTCTTACCCAGCATACATTTGAAGCCACTCTGGGTTCAGCACTGAGGCCCTCAATCAGACACTGGAGCAGGGGAGTCAAGTAGACATCATTGATGGCAGCTTCAGGGAGCAGTTCACAAATTCTGCCCACAGTCCATGCAGTTGTATCTCGAACAACTACACTGGGGTCTTTCATTAATTCTATTAGGGTGGGCATAGCCTGAAAACACATTTATTGGCAAAGCAAAACAAAGATTAAAATTCAGGTTGACTAATACCTCAGAAGAGGGAATACTAATGGCTGGGTTTTAACTCAAAGCATCAAGATGGTTTTCTCATTTTAAAAGACATGCTTGTCAAATACCCAACAATATAATAAAAGTAAGTAAAGTGAAAACTAAAAAAGTCCTCTCTTCACCAAACCTCAGTATAGAGTTTTAGTAAGAGTTTGGTATGAGTGCTTTCAGCAGTCTTTACTCAATTACTCAGGTACAGATCCCAGGATGCAGCTGTGCTGGCACTTGGCTACACCCTGAAAGGCTGCACTCTATATGCACAAAACTCAATTAGAATGGACTTTCGTGTCATCTATAACAGCAAAATAAATACAACACTTTCACTTTCATAAGACTGCATTATGTAATTGTCATTTTGTCCTAAGGACAGAATATCACGCAACTAAAAATTATGCATTAAGTGAAAAAACAAGTTCTAAGACTTGTCGCAGTAAGATCTCCATCCGGCTGCACACACACGCACACGCACACGGGAAAAAGCTGCAAGGACAAATACCAAGGGTTAAGAATGTTATCCTTGGGCAATGGAATTAATGGTGACGTTTTCTTTTTGGCTTTTTCTGCATTTTTCAAAAGTCCCATGACTTTTGTAATTAAAAAAGGTTAAGAAATATGTTACCCCTCGTCGACGGCAAATAGCTATCTAGAAATAACCTTTGTGGATGACTATTTACAGCTTCGTTTCTAAAATAAAGGCACACTTTCAAGCAAAAAGTTTAAAGAAACAATAAATATCCCGTTTTCCACCCCAAAACTCCCTTAGCTTCACCTGTATAACTAGTGGTTTGAGCTGATTGGGCTCTGGTCCTTCCAAGATACAGCCAAAAGCCATCACTGCGGCATCCCGGTACCGCCAATCAGGATTCTTGATGTGTTCTTTGATGAAGGGGAGGACATGTGGGACAATGTCATCTTCACAGCAGGTGGCCAGGAGCATGAGGCATACCCCTGCTGCTTTGCAGGGGTTCCAGTCGTCATCATCATCATTTTCGTCCTGGTGAAACAAAGTGGCACTAGTTAAGTTTTTCACTTTAACTGAAAAGATCCTCTACTTACTCCCAAATGTCATTAGAACTTAAAACTTTGGGGGAGTAAATAAAATATAAAATCTTTAAATTTTCATCTCTTCCACAAAGATTCATCACAGCACAGCCTATTAAGTAAGACGCAGCTGGAAGAAGATCGCACTTCCTACCACACAAAGAGATGAGTAAACTTCAACTACATGCAACAAGGATGAACCCTGAACATACAGAGTAAAAGGCAGAACAAGAGTCTATGCTATACGGTTCTAGTTATATGAAGTTCAAAATCAATCAAAATTAATCTAGAGTTAACTGTGAGGAGTTAACGCCTAAGACAACAACATGAGGGAGGATTCTGGTGTGCTATTAACTGCTGTATTTCAACAGAAAGTTAAACAAGGGCTCAGCCACTGCCGTAGTGCTTAAGTCTGCACGCTTCTCTTTGCGGGCCCGGGGTTCACGGGTTCAGATCCCTGGCATGGACCTACACATCGCTCATCAAGCCATGCTGAGGCGGCATCCCATGTAGAAAATAGAGGAAGATGAGCACAGATGTTAGCTCAGGGACAATCTTCTTCAAGCAAAAAGAGGAAGACTGGGACCAGATGTTAGCTTAGGGACAATCTTCCTCACTTCCCCCCCGCCAAAAAAGGATTCCATTCAGCTCTGCCCTGAAATTAGAATTCAAGGTCTATCTTCCTTATTGTGGCCACCCACACCACATAGTAATTTAAGGCAGGTTGCCTATGCAGTTTCAGAAAATTACATACCTGAAGAATGATTTGTTCCCAAACAAAAAAAGCACAATAAAAATATGCAAAAGTAAAGATACTAAGGTCAAAAGATAAAAAACAGCAACTGTAGAAATGAAAGATGAGATGACAATTTAAGGGAACACCCAGTTCATTTCAAACCAAATACACCTCCACTTATCTTTTGAGATTGCTAAATTGAAAGTCATGTACTTTCCTAAAAACAAATTACATTCTTGTGTACAAAGAAATTTTGCAGTGCTCAAAGTTAGAACATTCTTTCCTCACAACACTGCCAACTCTCTGGTACTGCTTGGTACTACTTCACATGCATCAGAAGAGATGAGGTGACAAAAAGAACCTTCCCAAACACCATACCAAGAAAAACGGTGACGCATACAGTCAAAAGGAAACAATGGCAACCAACATTCACTTCTAAGAAAAGAATTTCTATATTTACTCAGACCCACATCTTCAAGTTACTTTTACTTTGTCCTGAATCTTATTAATTGATGTTAATCATGAAGGATCAGAACTTTCTTTCATGAGTTGGAATCCTTCATTAGGATCCGAATAACTCTTATCTAATCTCATCAGCATTTTAGAAGCACATCTATATATACACCCACTGTGAACTCATAATATCCTAGATATCAGCAGATAGTCAACTGGCCTAAAACTAGCAAATCTCTCTTCCTACCTTTTCTTTTTTTTTTTGAGGAAGATTCGCCCTGAGCTAACTACTACTAATCCTCCTCTTTTTGCTGAGGAAGCCTGGCCCTGAGCTAACATCCGTGCCCATTTTCCTCTACTTTATATGTGCCAAGCAGTGCCACGTCCACACCCGGGATCCAGGCTGGTGAACCCTGGGCCGTGGAGAAGCGGAACATGCGCACTGAACCATTGCGCCACCAGGCCGGCCCCTCTCCCTACCTTTTCTTTACTGCAACTTCTACAGCACGTCTCCTGTGTCAGTTCACACAATGCAGCACTCAGAAAATCAGAGCGGTATGTGTGGCTCATCCATGATCAAGACTGAAATGTTCAGATCCAGTTCTCCACAAACAACTCAGAGCCTAGAGGATCTTGCAGATCCAGCTCAGCTATTCTTGAGTCATCTATACAACAGACCATTAACCAGCTGAAGAGTTGCTCAGCTCCTTCATGGAAATGGTTCCACAGCAAACCAACCCTTCAGAAGGTTTCACAGCTTACCTGGCTAGATACAGAAGGGAACTCACCTGTTTGGTTAGTGTCTGTGTGAGGATTGGAACCAGGTACTGCAATGCTCCCTTGGCATAAAACTTGCTGGTGTGCTCAGGGGGCCGTCCTTGCTCTGCTGCCTGAGGAGACACATAATGCAAATTCTGGACAGCAGCAAACAAGCTATGACACTAAAGGCACAAAATGAGAGCTGCCCAGGGGCCTGCACAGAAATATGTGGAGCAAATGGTAACGTCTGCTTTCATCTTTGGAGGTGCTCATTTTTTGGTCTACTTCAATGAAATTCTTTTAGGCCATACATATAACCTACCTTAAAGGACCAAGCCAACTTTAAGAATTACATTCTTTTTTCACAAGCTCAATTCATATTAAAAAGCCGTCATCTAAGTGACCTTTTGGATCAAGAGATGTACTAAATTTACATAAGGATGTCAAAAATAAGATTGTTTTTTAAAGTGCATAAAGACAATCAACGTTGGAAACCAAGCTTGAATTCAAAAATTCCAAGTGCAGAAGTTACCCCTTTCTCCATATCTAATTCCTTCACCAGAGTCAGTAAATTATCAATTATACATCCCATGCGTACACTAGGACTTCCAAAAGGAAATAACTCAGCATCAAACGTCACCTTGTTAAACTGTGACTGCCTGCTGCCCCCTTGTGTTCACAGTACTAACATCAATATTCACAATAAATCATGCCTGACTAAAACATGAGATGCTTCATTACTGATCTACCTCCCTCATGACGGGCTTCGGCCAGCAGAAAAATCAAAATCTCTACAAATGGAGACATCCTCTAAGCCCAGTCAGAATAAAGCTTTCTCAGAGAGTAACAATATCCACAACGGAGATACATCCGAGAGCCCAGTCAGAACAGCTCTCCCCGTACCGACCCTCTCCCAGGCTCACCTCTGAAGCCTCAATGGCCAAATCCATTTCCTCATCACAGACATTGGACCAGAATTCTATCCCTTGCAGGGCCACCTCATCAATGTCACTTTTCATTGCTTCAATTGTGATCTTAAGAGAAAAAAACATGACATCCCAGGCCCCAAATAAGTGCTAGTTCAAGTTAGACCCCTCCTCTAACCACAGACATTCAAGTTTCAAAAATAGACATTTATGAAAGCTAGGTATTTATGAAATGAAAGGTAGAACCAGGAAACAGATTTTTAAAAGATGCTCTTTTTACCAGCACAAACACAGCACAAGTTTTCTTGGCAGAGTACTGACGGTCTTAAACAACACTCAGACTCAAGGAATTTCCCTGATTTCATAATATTAAGTAAAAAATTACAGAACCAGCAAAACAGCAACTAAGAATGACAGGTTGTGCAAATAGCTACATGCTCAAATACACACAACAGGAATACTCACTGCAAAGAGAGCAGGACCCATATACGTCTCCATGTACTGATAATACAAGGACATTATCTTCACCAGATTCTGTAAGGCAGCCACTCGTACCTTTCATAAAGAGCAGATTAAACAGTTTACTAGGTAGTTTTAATAACTATGCAATCTGACAAAGGTAAGTAACTCGTTCATTCAGATGGGTCAATGATCTAAAGGGTCAATCAAGGTACATTTGGGTAAGGTTATCACTACCCCCGATCCATTCCTTCCTTAGTTTTTCCACTATTCCTTCCTATTTATCATTCCTTTCCTTCTCTTTTTTACTTTAAAGGTGCCTATGGAACCCACGGCAGACTAAACTCACTAATGCCACTCAAACTGGATGTTTCTCCCACCTGCTTCAAGGGTCCAGTTTAGGTTACAGCAATAGCAAAGCTGTTTCAATGGCTACAACGAAAAACAATTACTTGAAAAACTCACAACAATCAAGTAGCAAGGTTGATCAAAAATCATTTCTCCCTTAACCCCTTTCAAGAGGAAGGCAACTTCCATTATGCTAACATTCCAAGTACTGTTTTTCTCTCTTCTCCAATATGTTAGAGAAAAATTATTAATAACAATATTAGTCAAGCCTTATTTCCAAAGTCACCTGATTCCCTACATTTCAAACTACTACGCTAGAGTTGGTATCCTAGGAAAAACGGCAGACAGATTTTTCCTACAACCTCATACTTACCCTCGTATCTGGACACTGTGTGGCTTCACAGACCACCTGCATAATAAAGTGCCTTTCGGACTTCAGGAAGAAGGAAAAAAAAAGAATTAGAAGAGTATAAGCCATATATACAAAGACTCCTAGACTATCCCCCTTCAAGAAACACTCTCACTCCTTCAAGGATCCACCCAACCCTGGACCAATCAAGCAGCCTTTCCTTGACTTGGTAATGACACTAGGAATGATACAGAGAGTGTGCCCTCAGTGTCTACTATATGACCTGCTCTCTAAGGAGGTCCCTAATCTTTTAATCCCCCAAATGACCTTCAATAACAAGACTTCAGGGAGGCAGCAAATAAGAAAATGTAGGTCACAGGGTTTAAATAAAGATGGTTAAAAACCTACATTAGGAAAATCTGTTTTCTTGTATTTAAAATTCAGAAGAATTCAAAACATCTGCTTTACTTCAGAAACAAAATTTGCTTTGTGGGAGGTGGCAAATTCACATCAAATGTGGTAAAATACAGGAGAACAGAGCAATGAACTTTTATTTGCTCGTGTCCTAAGTCTTCCGAAATTAAAAAGGAAAAACTCTCTTTTCTAAGCAGTTGGAACCGCAGTTTACTTTGGCTTCTTAGCTGTCCCCACTTTGTCCACTATACAGCCAAGAAATGGCAACAAGCCCAGCTAAAGCATCAACAAACATATACAAAAATACTTTCAGACCATATCATCCAGCAATTCCACTTCTGGGTATATATCCACAAGAACTGAAAGCAGGGTCTCAAATATACATTTGTACACCCACATTCACAGCAGCACTATTCACAATAGCCAGACGGTGGAAGGAAGCAACCCAAATGTCCATTGACAGATGAATGGATAAACAAAATGTGGAATACACATACAATGGGATATTATTCAGCCTTAAAGGGGAAATCTTGACACATGCTAGAACATGCATGAACCCAAGATATTATGCTAAGCGAAACAGGCCAGTCACAAAAAGATACATCCAACACTGTATAATCAAACTCATAGGAATATAAAGTAGAAAGGCGGTGGCCAGGGACTGGGAAGGGGAAAATGGGGAGCTGTTTAATGGAAATTGGCTTTCAGTTTTGCAAGATGAATAAGTCCTGGAGATTGGTTGCCAAACAATGTGAATATACCTAACACTACTGAACAGTACACTTAAAACTGGTTAAGATGGTAAATTTTATGTTGTTAAAAGAAATTTTTTTTTTAAGATTGGCACCTGAGCTAACATCTGTTACCAGTCTTTTTCTTCTTCTTCTCCTCCCCAAAGCCCCCCAGTATAGAGGTGTATATTCTAGTTGTAGGTCCTTCTGGTTGTGGCATGTGGGACACCACCTCAGCATGGCCAGATGAGTGGTGCCATGTCCATGCCCAGGATCCGAACTGGCAAAACCCTGGGCCAGCAAAGCGGAACATGCGAACTTAACTGCTCGGCCACGGGGTTGGCCCCACACTGTACATTTTAACACAAATAAAATAAGTAAGTAATAGGCGGAAATACTTTCAGGCAACATAAACTTTGTTTATATATTAATTTTCAAAAGGCACCTTCCTAAGGAGGTATAAAGCAACTCAGTTTCCATAACTTAAAAAAAAAAAAAAAAAATCCCAAAGCATACCCGCACTTTAGACTGCAAAAGGAAAAACCTAAGCTTAGTTTAGATCACATCATCCCCAAAACCTGATGAGAAACGGCAAATACTCACTCCAGGGCCATGTCTCGCATAACGCAAATCTTAACTAGAATGGAAATGAAAGCTTCTAAACAAAATGGTACTTCCTAAATCACAAACTTAAAAAACAACCTTTCCTTTAACTCAGTCCTCACTCTCTGAACCTACATCTTTTTGTCAAAAGACACTCACCTCTTTGTCAAAGTTTGCTTTGGTGAACTCCAATGAGTTCAGGAGTGCATTCGTAGCTGCTAGCTTCACATTATTACTAGGCTCTTCTTTCCTCATCCCCTGGATTATGGCAGTCAGAATCTCATTGGACTTATCCTGTAGCTGCTCTGGGTCCTGAAACAAGCAGAGAAGCGCAGTGAATATAATAATGAGTTCATGACTAATCAGCAGTCCCTTTAACTGTAAAATCCACTCGAGTGAGATCCACTCCTCTGATCTTTTCCCACACATTTCCATTTAGGGACAAACCACTTGCAAAATATCACAGGGTCCGGTAGTCCAAAATCAAACTGAAACAAGTTAAACTCATCAGCTTCATCTCTGACTTCTTAGCATAATGACTCTGGGCATGAGGTAATGCTGGCTTTTTTTTTCCTTCTGTGCAAATGGAGATGGTAGTCTGGTGTTTTTTTTCCAGGCCATCTGTAGCAACTGAAGTAAAGCTTCAGAACATCTGAGGACCAAGGATAAACACCTGGGCACAACAGCTAGGGAGTCTAAGTCCAGGTGAAGTGCTGTGGACTTCTCTGCTTCATCAAGTCTGCGTATCAAAACAGACACCAAGAGTGGTAACCTCAGCAGCAGCAACAGTCCGAGGAGGGCTGCATTTAACATACTGTGTTGTGGTTCCAATGTCTAAACCAACTACAGCAAGGGCTGGCAAACTGTTTCTGTAACAGTAAATGAAAATGTAACATGGCATCTGTGGTACGCTGAGGATCTTGAGAAAGGGATCAAGTCAAGGATGCTCCAAGACAGAGAATATTCTCTTTCCAAAGTCCAGAATCTACACCTCTCCAAACATATGGATCTCCATATTAAGTTTGTGACCCTCAAGTCTCTTTACTTTAGGGCATGATTAGCAATGTGAGAATGGCCAAGTTAACTATCCAAATAAACAAATAAAGCAGTCCTACTTCCAAAGCTTCCGCAGCACTTCCACTACTTCTGCAGCAGCTTGGTTTTCTTCATGACATGATAAAAAATAATCCTAATACCACGCACATCACAACTACGGGGAATCAGAGATACACAATTAGATACGTCAAGCAGCACTTACTATATCTTGGCAAATGTAACCAATAGCTTCCAATGTCGACTCTTTCATGTGCTCTGTGCTGTTGGGGTTTGTGACGTTGGCCACCAGCTGAGGGATGAGTTCTGGCCACTGGTTCACTGGGATCTCTGCACAAGCAATACCAGCCACACATTGGGAGGCAGAACTAGGCCGGTAAGTTTCTGTGCCCAGAGTCTGCAAAACCTGTACACACACACGCACACAAAAACAAGATGAAAGACAGCAATTCCTAATGTTATTTGAACACATTTGCCTACTACTACACCTCTTATATCAGTCTCTGAATTATCTGTAACACAGAAAAGTAGAAAAAGGCATATACAGTATACATCAGCTGTCGAAAAAAGCCAGCCTCAGTACCAACACCAGCACAGTCAACATTGCCCCAGAGACTAGAAACGAAACCAACCATCCCCCACATCCAGATGGAATTCTCCAAAGCTAGACACATCACTTCAGTGTTCAACACAGTTAGGAGGGAGTAGCATTAAAAGGCAGAGGAGAGGTGACCAGCCCCACGGCCGAGCAGTTAAAGTTCTACGCACTTGACTTCAGCGGCCCAGGTATCGTGGGTTGGGATCCCCCCGTGTGGACCTACTGCACTCGTCAGCCATGCTGTGGAGGCATCCCACACACAAAGTAGAGGAAGACTGGCACAGACGTTAGCTGGCAAATCTTCCTCACACACACACAAAAAGGCAGAAATGAGCTGATAAAATGCACCTTCTAGGCTCCTCGGTGGTGGTATAAGGAAAGGATGCTCACAGTCTTGTTTTGTGGACAGAAAGCGTGGATGTCAGAATGAGGCTAACTCTGGGGCATTCGAGTCTGCTCCACAGTAGATCACTGTCTAACCAGATTCAAGAGAGAGATCTTCCCACTCATGAAACATGGAACAAACCTTCTTCCTTCCGGCCACTGACAATTTAGCACCCTGGGTGACTTTCATAGACAGGCCTTGGTCAAGTAACATCACTTAATGCAGATACAAAGTTACTGACGGTACCAACACCTAAGAACTAATCTTTATTTAACTTCCAATCTGAAAGGATTTGTTCTGTTTGCCCAAGAATCAAAAAACTGTTCCCTCCACCATCAACAGATACCAAGAATTAGTTAGATATGCCAATTAAAATGAGACCTGCTTATCATTAAACATGCTTTGTTTGAAATGGTAATCATACAAGCATTTATGTAAGGGGTAAAAGCACAGGTACAGATAAAGGATGAAGCCACAACTCACCCAAGGTTAATCATTACCACAATCAGCTAATTCAGTAAATGAACTCACTAAGAATCACCAGTCCACCACTCAAATGGCAAACAGTTAACTGTTCCTGGCATGAACGCAGGACAAAGAGTAGCTGCCAGATATTCAGGCCAGCTCTGCTGACTGGGTCAGGTCACTTAGTATCCTGCTTTGTAGCTAATAATAATGAGCTCCCCATCTTTTTCCTTTATATGACGGATCATCATCCCTGCCTGGCCCCCACTCCTAACACTTCTACCCGATAACAAACAGTTCCAAGTGATTCTAAATGAAGGTTTTGCTCTCTAGGTCTACCAGAGCTAGAACGGACTTTAACAAAAACCCTATGTCAAAGACACGGGGGTGAGGGGTTGGGAATGAGATGAATTGTCCAAAAAGGCAGCAACTGAACAGTATTAACCCAAGTCTGACTAAGAGTTCCAGTCCAGGCTGCCTTGATACTACCCTACATCACCTCCTAGCACATATGTGGACAGTACTGAACCCCATTCTACTTTTACCTTTTCTCTTTTTAATTGCTTCTAGAAGACCCTTAGGTAGTGTTACTTGAGTGATTCTGAGACTACAAATGTTCAACTCCTGAGTACTGAAAGTTATTTTTCTTAAAACTTGGGGTGACCCTAATGATAATACCCAATTATTGGAAATAAGAGGAATAAGAAACTAGCTCAAGTGTGTCCAAGACTCAGATTTCAAAAAAGAAACAACCATCAGCACTTAGAAAATGTGCTAGATGTGCTATGAGAGGGAAAAAGGCCAAGATAATTGCTAACTTTTTTTTCATGCACAAGGGCTCAACAACGCCTATATAAATTCTTATCCAAACTAAAAATAACTTTGGTGTTAAGAGTCATGTGCCAAAAACCAAACCAACCAACAAAAAACCAGTCAATTACAGTTCCAGTCATGTCTTATCTCATTTACTATTGTGTAATTTAAGAAAGATGAGAAAATGAATGGGCACTATGAGCATCAAGAGTTCCAGTGACTGATAAAATAAACTCCATTTCTACCAAATTACTGACGGAAGGATTAAAATGTTATTACATAAGCAGACCCAACGTGGATAGAAATAGCTCTACATACACTGAAGATTCAGAGTTGGCTTTCATCACCTATTTCCCATGCAAGCACCTCCATGCAAGACTGGAGAGGGAAGGAGGTCCATAACTAGAAAGAGAAGCTACTGCCTTAAGGGGAACTAATTTACTAAATGCTGACACCTAGAAAAAGGAAACAGCAAATACGACGTGGAGAACCATGACCTGCACAAGCACACACACAGGACTCCCCCACTGGCTTCCCCTCAAATACCAAGGACGAACTGATGACTGCACAGATGCTTGACTTACTACGCTCTGCGCCTTATCCGTGAAAGAGAAGCCACTGAAGAAGCTCATTAAAAAAAAAGCACACATCTGTCCACATATTCTGAACCCTTCACTGTAGCTAGAATTATGGATCCCTAACCGAGCAAGAGTCACAAGAACTCCGTCGTGCGGAGCAACAAGGGACATTCAATTTTCCTCAAAATTCATCAGCTCAACTCTTTAAACCCCTTGATAAAAAGCCAAATGTTTCTAAAGAAAGTTTTTCATAATTTGCTAAGTAGATAAAAGCACCATTAACGTCATAACCTTATTTCGCAAACTCTTTGGGCTTGAAAGGCCCAAGAGATCATTTAATGGCTCTTCTAACTCCGCACAGTGCCATGCCTAACCACCGAACGATGAAAATTATCTACAGCAGTTCAACAAGAGCTAGGTGCTGGGTGACTATGGAAGAATCACTTAGGGAGACAGTTTAAAAATTATCTCTGAGCCTCACTCCAAAAGGGAATCTCTGGAGGGAGTCTGGAAATACGTATTATTAACAAATTCTCTAAGTGATTCTGATAGTCCAAGACTGGGAACCACCAATTTGTCTACTACGCAAATTCACCAAAGATTCTACAAATTCTGGCATCTAACTAAAGTTTCCCAAACTGCTGCAGTCTATCTCAGTATTCTGAAAAGAATTCCAATGCATTAATGGGAACAGAAGAGCTGAACTGAGAAAGAAGATTTAAACCAAGTAGAATTTTTATCTTCAAGTGAAGCTTAGGTACCAGAAACCTATCACGCTATCACTCTATCCTTTTGTCATTTGTAAATGACCAAAAACTGACAAAGATGTTTCTTGTTCCCTAGACTAATATGACCAAAGGGAGATGAAAGTTACTTACATAATTCTTGACTTCCCGTCGAGCATTAGCATCAATAGCAAGCCACCTCTGCTGATACTGTGCCTTGATATCTGGATCTTTAGACGTCAACGAGTTCTTGATTTGTAGACCAGCTGCAACTCTGGCAACCTGACTGTTTCCTGGGTTTGCCAGCACTCTGGACAGTTCCACAAGGAAAGTGGGCTGTTAGGAGAAGATGCACTTGTGAATGGAAATATCTCCTAGGAATTTCACCATTTGAGAATAGCTTATGGAGAACCCAAACACGGGAAAATCTAAATTTTTTAGGACATATAACATCTCAGAAAAATGTCCAAATATCTACTTCAAGACTCTTACGCAAATGTCACGTGGTATATAAGAAAGTCATCCATGTTCTCACGCAGCCTCAGTGTTTAACAAGGAGTTACAGATTTTCCTATCAACATCAAACCTTCACATTAGAGCCCTCAGGATTAAAGCAAGTTTGACCATCTGGTAGTCGGAGGATTCTTCTGTGTTCCTAGAACAGTGCCTAGTACTCAGTAAATATTTGTTAAATGAATGAGTATGTTACAACAGGGTAGAAAATAAAATTGCTTTCCTAAATTTAAAAATCTTAATCCAAAAACAATGACACTCAGGGTGGCTTTTGATCACATGGAAGCAGGGAATCTTGTATAAGAGAGGGAAATACTTATAAACCTAAAACATGGACTTTGGAGGCTAGCTCTATTTTAGCTGTAAGTGTTCCGTAAGAGAGGAACAATGAAAAAAGATTTCTAACGGAAAATTGATAAATATTTAGAAACAGGGGAAAACCGAAAAGATAAAAATGTAAAGGAAAACAATTTTATATTTAATAGTCAACAGGCAATACACTAAAGGATCCTATACATTTTGTACTTGAGTTATCCACTAAACATAGTGGATTTCTGACAGCATACTTAATCTTTTGTAATGCACAGGTCCCCAAAACTACTCCCTTTGTTTAAAAATTCTAACACACACTCCTCTTCCCTGCAGAAAGCTCTGTCCAAGTGGAGAAGTTAACAGGAAAAATCAAAAGCAGATAGTTTCTTACCACTAACAAGTTCCGCAATCACAGCAGAAGATAATTCTTAAAAGTTTTATTAATTATGTGCCACTAAAGAACGTTAGGAAGATGTTAGGAAGAAGATAAAAGGCTTCTTGCAAATTAGCAAAAGCAGAAATAAGCATATACCCTAAATGGAGGTCTTACCAGTCTACGCTAGGGGAAAAAAATCTTTTCTATGAAAAGCTAAGGATAAAAAGGTTAGTACTGAAAACCAGCACATACAAAAGAAAAAAAAAATCATTCAAAGCCAGTTTGTATAAAATAAGCCTCATCACCTTTTTTGCTTACATTACTTTGCCTAGATAACACAAAGGACCACGTTTAAACATAGTGTGGTTTAGATTTATACCTAATACTTTTAAAGGATGTCAAGTATCATCCACCCTTCCCTCCGTTCCCCATCCCCCCAGAGGAGAGGGACACCAAAGAGAAACATTACTAGCACAGAGACTGTCTGAACGAACCTATCGTATATTTTTATTCACAGATCCAGTCTCTGGTGGACTTCAATTTTTTTCTGTACCCCTTAAATTTGAAAATATGAAAAATGAGGAACTTTCCTCTGTGATTTCATCTGGAAAGAGGCCCGATCTCAAGGATGAGCCTCAGGGGGTTGTCTGGGTACAGATTAAGTGTTCACTCGATTGATGTTAAAAAAAAAAACAAAAAAAAAAAACCCAAAAATCCCGGGAAAGGAATAACCAAGCAGGAAAGGGAGAAATGCTGCCGGATCGGGCATTCGGGTGCCAGGCCTGGCCATGAGCACAGACCAAAGGATCTAGGAAACGGTAGCACTCTGGAAAGTAGGTGGAGAGAATCAAGAATCACAGGGGCCACGGGACAGGAAAGAGAAGCTGGCCGGGGTCAGACCAGACGGGCAGCCGGGCTCCGAGCTTCCACATGGCCCCTAGGCCCGGCTCCCCCACCCCCACCCTTGCTGAACACGCAGCGCCGCGCAACCTAACTTCCCTTCCCTCCCTCTTTCTCCCTCGCGCCGCACCGCCGCCCTCAGGCCGCGCGGCGATTGGGCGGCGGTCACCCCGGCGCGCCGCGCCATTGGCCCACTGCGGGGCCCGGGGCGGGACACACCCACCGGCTTCCCGATGGCGGGGTTAGGTTGGACCGGGCGGGGGGGAGGGGGACGGGAGGGGGCGGGGTGGGTTCCCGAGGCCTGGGCCTCCGGGAGGGCGGGAAGGCCCGCACGCAGGGATGGGAGACGGCGGGATGGGGACGGCGGGCGGCACGCACCAGGTTCTCCACGGCCGCACGCTCCAGGAACTTCTGCGCCGCTTCCAGTTCCAGCCGATCTGGGGGAAGGAAAGTGGGAAAAGGGACAGGGTCAGAGGGCCCAAGGCCCCCCTCCCCCCACCCGGTCACCTCGGCGCGACCCCCGGCCCCCGCGTCCTACCGGGGGACACGGTCTTCTCGAGGATGGTGATCAGCTCCATGGCGGAGGGGGTGGCGGTGGCTCCTCCTAGGACGACGGCCCGGCCTCTCGGGCGGCGGCTCTCACTGGGGATGGGGGTTGGGGGTCGGGGGGGAAGGGAGGGTGGGGTGGGGGGCGGGGGTCACCACAAGCCCATTCACCGGCTCCCTCTTGGGGGTCGCCCCGGCTTCGCGGCCTTCCTCCTTGCCTTCCTTCCTCCCTCCTAATTTGCTGCTGGCGGCGGCGGCAGCTGCTCCTCGCACGGCGGGGGAGGGACCCCGGGGGCAGCTCGGAGCGCGGCTGGTGCTCGGGCGGCGGAGGGAGAAAGAAGGAAGGGAGGCGATAAGTGAACGGCGGCTCGCAGGGAGGGAGAGAGAGGAGGGAGGAAGGCGGAGGGATATTCGGGCCGGGCCTCTCCGCGGCGGCACCGCGCTGCACGCCGATTGGCTGGCGCCGTGGCCACGCGGAGTCCCCAATTGGCCGGGCGGGCAGCGTTGAAGGGCCGCCCTGCGCCGATTCGCCCGCCGCTTTCAAGGCCCGGGTTGGCTGGGCGGGCAGCGGAATGGGGCGTGCGGATTGGCCGAGGGGAGGGAGGTTGGGGTGGGGCAGGCGAGAGCCGGCCGCTGATTGGACTGGCCTGGTAAAGGCCTTGAGCTCAGACCGGCTGAGCGCTGGAAGGAGGCTGGACCGGAGGCGAGACTCTGAGCCCGCGTGATTGGCTGCGATCCTAGACGTTGATGGGATAGGGCGCCCGGGAGAACTGGGGAGAGGAGTTCGGGGTCGGGGCCGCGGGAAGGCGGGAGGCGCCCCGCCGCTTTCGGGGCCCGGCGCGGGGCACGCTGGGACGCCTCCGGGAAGGGGCGGAGCCGTGCGCGGGCTGCGGTTGGGGAAGCGCCGTCACCCGGAGGGGCGTGTTGGAGAAGGTTTCGCGGGCCCAAGCGGGGGAGGGGGGGACCGTTAAAGCGCTGCACCGCGCCCACAGGAAGCTGCTTTAATGGTTAGGCCTACTCGGTACCAGGCTCTCGGCTGGGAAGGACCTTGAAGACCATGCGGTTCAACTTCCAATTTGCAGATGTGGAAACTGAAGCCCAGAGAGGGTATGCAACTTGTGCAAGGTTACACAGGCGGTTAGTGGCCTGGGCTGGAGTGGACTCAAGCGCTCCTGACCGCCCTTGGCCTTAAACGCAGCTGCCTCTCCAAGGAGGTGAATGCTAATGCACTTCTCTTAGATCTATTTATAGGGTTTGAGGCCTGTGCTGTTTTAAGGTCTAACTCACGTGGGATGGGCATTTGGATTCCTCTTAGACCACCCCCCATCCGTAGCTACCAGGTGATTGAAGGAATAGAAATGTTTCATCCTGCGAAGGTGCCCCTATAGAGGCACAACCGTGAGCCAAAAAGAATGCGTACGGACATAAAGGATCGCGGTTCTTAGCCTTATTTAGTTCTGAGCCCTGGAGGAAGCTATTGAAGGCTTTTCCTGAGCAAAATGCACAGAAAGAAAATGTGCATACGGTTTGACTTCCCCTGACGTTGGTACATGGGCTCCCCGTGAAGAATTTCCTGAATTATTACGTTTTCATCCTGTTGATCTAGGGTTAATTGGATGTAGCTAGCGTATAGAGCTCTTTACCATGTAGCTTGAGATTGTGGAATAATTGCCCTATTCTAGTCATACTAGGAGGAAGCCTGTCCTCTCGCAGAGGTTCCCCCCGAGAATTAGGAAAGCTGGGCCAGCTACCTTCAGTCCTTAAAAGAGACAGAAGGGGTCTTTCTCTGCTCGAGATCCCTTTGCAGTTCTGAAGCTGGAAGTGTGGGGACACCATTCCTCCCCTTATCCCGTGACTGGTTGATTTCCTACGGCTTAGCAGTCCTCCTAACCGCAGCCTTTTGCTTCGTCTATTAACTGAGGAAGAACTGCCCCGTGTGTGTGACTTTATGGGGAATCAATGAGGGTTAAGAGATGACATCCTTGAAAATCTTTGAATAGTCCTTATACGGATTACCCATGCTACAGATGATCCATAATTTTGTCTCACTCCAAGCCAGCTTCCCCTGCTCCCTAACAGTGTGCTGAGCCTCCCGCTCCTCTCAGCATCAGTCACAATGATCCCAGTGAGGGCAAATGGATGTTTAAAGTAGCTGGAATAAGATGCTGGGAAGATAAATGTTTTGCAGCAAAGTTCCAGTCAAACATAAGATCCTTACCAAAAGCCGAGTGAAGTGACTTTTTAGTTGAACTAGGTTACTACTGGTGCTGTCTAGTCCCTATCCAAAGCACTCAACACTAGCCTGTCCTCTTCAGGTGGTAGTGAGGCGTCATAACGTATTTAGCATACACACTCCAGAAACACGCCTGAGTTTGTCTCCCAGCTCTGCCTCTTAGCTTGTGTGACTGACTTTGCTTGTATGTAAAATCAGGCTAATAATTGTGCCTGTTTCATATAGGGCTTCTGCAAGGTCTTAAGTGAGTTAATTACGTGTTAAGGACTAGGAACACTGCTTGGCATCTTATATATATATATTGGCTATTATCTATTTAGTGTGTATTTTGTACTCACTGAGTGGTTCTTGGTCCTTAGCATATTAGGGAAGAAAGCCTTTAATCAGTTAATCTCACAAACAAATGTGAATTGTAAAAGTGACAGATGCCAGAGAATGACTCAGGGGACTTGGAAAGCTTACCTGAGAAAAGGAAGAGAATTATTCAGGTGGAGAAGGGAGGAGCAGCATGTGCATAAGCCCTGTGGTAGGTGGGAGCTTGGGGATTGTCAGGAACTGTAAGAGGGTCAGTACCCCCAAAACACAGAGAATGAGGGAATGAGATAAAGCTAGAGTGTTGAGTAGGAGAAAGACCATATGAAACCTTGTGTGCCATGCAAATGATTTTATCAGTATCCTAAGAGCAAAGGGCAGCTCTTCAAAGGTTTTGAGAAGGTTGGTGGTTGTAATGTGGAGATTAGGCTGGAAAAAGGGAAGCGTAGATGCAGGGAATCCAGTTAGGAGGCCATTGCAGTAACCCTGAAAAGAGATGATATTGTAGAAAGGAGAAGGGTAAAGGTAGTAGAAACAGGTATCAAAATTAATTGAACTTGGTAATTGATTGGCAGAAGAGGGAGGGGTCCCTGGTGCCTGCTGGATTTCTGGCTTGCACTGGGGAGTGGATGGTGATGCCATGTGCAGTGTTTCCCAGGTGGGAGGAATTGGAGGCCACATGGTTTAGTGGAACGGGGGGAGGTACGAGCTGTATTTCTTTTCTTTTTTTTTTTTTTTTAAAGATTTTATTTTTTCCTTTTTCTCCCCAAAGCCCCCCGGTACATAGTTGTATATTCTTCATTGTGGGTCCTTCTAGTTGTGGCATGTGGGACGCTGCCTCAGCGTGGTTTGATGAGTAGTGCCATGTCTGCGCCCAGGATTCAAACCAACGAAACACTGGGCCGCCTGCAGCGGAGCGCGCAAACTTAACCACTCGGCCACGGGGCCAGCCCCTCTGAGCTGTATTTCTTGAGTTGTGTATGGAGGATGCAGGTTTTAATATGTTTTCTCTATGACTTTTTGAATGTCAGGAATGTTCACGTCCAGTGAACAAATTCTGAAATTAAAAAGAAACACAGAGTTCTCTTCTTACTCCACCGCTTCCTGCTGTAGGAGCCTGAACGAGTTCCTTGACCTTTTGCGTCTGTGAAAGGGGAGCATCTGTGCCGCACCATTGGGTGGTCTGAGCATAAACGGGAGCCCCTCCAAGGTGCTCGGTACAGGTGTCTCGTGCCCCAAGATGCTCACCATAGTCTGTGAAGCACGTGAATTCGTGATGGACGGATCAGTTGGCGATTCCCCACCCAGACCCCCAACACCCCACAACGCATACGTGTGAGAAGACTGGCTGCGAGGGGAGGCTGTGGCCTTGTGCCCCTTCCGCCCGAGCAGAGCCGGCCTCGGCCTCGCCAGCACTGAGGAGGGATGGAGGTGAATGTGACGTCTGGAGGACTGAGAGCCCCTGCTTGGTAGTGGGGCGAGCTTCGTCGCTGTTTCCAACTTCCACACTTCTCCCAAATAGCTTAGGACAGAGAATGTTCGCAGAAAAGCGGCTGAGACGTGGCCCTTTGATCTTCAACCCCCAGAAGCAGAAAGACTGTGATCATCAAACAATTTTCTCATCTCCCCAGACCTTCTCTTCACACTAGGCTCCTGCCTTCTTTCTGTTCCTAGAACACAGCATGATCTGTGTGTCTGGGGACCTTGGCGTTGGCTGTTCCTTCCTATTATTCCTACCTCGGTTGAGATGTCGCTTCTTCAGAGAGGCCTTCCCTCACCACCCTATCTAAGGTCATTTCCACAGATACTCTTTTTTTTATTTCTTGGCTGAGGAAGATTTGTCCTGAGCTAACATCCATTCCAATCTTCCTCTATCTTTTAGTATATGGGCTGCCAGCACAGCATGGCCGCTAATAGAGCAGTGCAGGTCCGCACCCAGGAACTGAACCCGGGCCGCTGAAACAGAGCGTGCTGAACTTAGCCACTAGGCCACGGGGACGGGCCCTCCACAGAATCTCTTTATGACAGGGCCTTTTCCTATTATCTTCAGAACACTTCTCAATACCTGAAATTATCTTTTTTGTGCTGTCTGTCCCTGCCCCCACTAAAATGCAAGTTCCATGAGAGCAAGGATCTTGTCTGTCTTGTTTGTTGCTTAAAATTGTGCCTCACGCATAGTGGGTGTGAAATATTTGTGAAATGGTTGAAGCGTACATAACTACACATGTGACATGTCCTTATGGCCTGCACGAAGTGACTGTCTAGCTTTGTTAAAGGCACTTTATAGCTTAATTCACCTTCTTTTCCAGTCTTATCCACACCAGCCCCCACAAGTACCTCTGCTGCAGTCAAGCCAACCGTCTCTCTGTGTCCTGCAGCGGTGCTCGTCCCTGTCCTGGCCTGTCCCCTGCCTAGAATTCCCTCCTTGTCCTTCTCTGTCTTCAAGGTTGTACTCTTGTTCATTTGTTCATTCAACTATGTTAACTTATTGGATGTCTCCCCCCACTAGGGCATTTCGAGTATAACATGAGAATATGATAAAGGCCATAAGAAAGGTACAAGTCAAATGCTGTCACGGAGCTAAAATTCGAGAGGACAAAGAGAGGTTTCTTTTTTCCTCCCTTAGTTATGAGAACATTGGGTAGA